CCCTCCATTTTAATACATGTACATTTTACATAGATAGAGTTGCTTCTACCAACGGTGATGATGACACTGATCTGGAAAATTTCTTTTTTTTATGTCTTTCACTCGCTCTCTCCCTCCGTCTTATGTAAAGAGATATTTATCAAGATTGAAGAGAAAAAAAATGTTCTTTATGCCTTCGTTTCAATTTGGTTGGTTGAATTTTGGCGTGCGCTATAGTCGAACCCTCTAAATACAAGACCAAAATGATGCAAAGCATGCGACAACGACAAAGTGTATTTGCTTTATCGTTATCTTTATTACTCAATTATCCGATGTGGGATTGCAAGTGAGTGCATTACTGAATCATCATTTTCTTCTATATAACCGGCTAAAATAATGTGTCAGCTAGCGAAAGAGGCAAATATTCTATTCAAATTGATATTCAGCCATTTGATGCGTATGTGTTGATGTTCTTAGAGCCAATTTTCACTTAAATATTTATTTCCAACCTTGCATAAATTGACGCACCGAACACATTCAAACGAAATGAAAACCAGCATTCTTGTCTTCAAACGATGAATACTACATTTGAATTGATAAAACGATTTGATGATGAGCAAACATCTTCTCATCCCACAGAGTGGAGAGGAATAATCAACGAAAATGCCACTAATAAGTTGGTAATGTAGTGACACGCAAATTTTTGTTTATGCACAAATATACAGGTTGAATTATGTTAAGATTGATCCAATCCAAAAGGAGCAAAACCACTCAATGCACACGAAACATTCAAGAGCATATCTATGTTGTCTTGCTCATCGAAGCAAATGGTTCAATTAGTATTATGTGGTAAAAATAAAACTATCTACCATGATCGACTGTCACACATTTACGACAGATTTACTCATTTGCGTCGATTTACAGAGCGGTTCACATAATTCACACAAAAACACTTTACACACACAGAATGAGAGAGAGAGAGAGAGAGAGAGAGAGATTGACGTCGTTTCATCCACTGTCTTTCGCATATACATTTATTCAAATGCAGAGATGAAATGCTTGTAGATTTTACCGTATAATTTATTATTTATTCGCACTTGAATTGCATCAAAATACCTCCAGCAAATGGATGATAAGATAGAAGCAGTAATTTATTGAATAGCTAGAGTAGACATTTCAATTTCGTCTCTTTGCAAGATGCTTTTAGGGGTAGATTTTAAGTGGTTGGATGACGGTTGCAATGCCAACAACGCCGACATCATTTATTATTCATCGGTTCACGATGTGCTTCCGAATGAACTTTATTATATGTAAAAGCAGAAAAATAAATAAATTGAAATTCGGACAAAAAAAGTATTTATACGCCCAAATGTAAGTTGTAAGGCATACATCCCGAAAATTTGTACAGATTTCTAAAATATCTAAACATCAATATGTCTTATTAAACAAAAATGAAATAATTTTTTAAAACGTTGCAGACACTGGGTAGACATGAAAATCGAAATGAAATTAGACGAAAAAAGGAGCGTAAAAGAAGTTTAATAATCAAATTAAGCTGAAAGGATAAACTGAATTTGTAATAAATCATTACTAATGATTGAGAAATGATAACAAATGGCAACGCGATAAAAAATCTTATCAAACAGTAATGAGCTACCAGCTTTGATTCATCATTTTGCGTCCGGTTTTTTGTCACGCAAAAATTTTCCGAAAAATGACTGAGACAGAATGAGACTGAAAAATTAATCGTCATCAAGTAGTGATTCGTGGAAATTGTACAGCATCCAACATTACTATGTGCACACAGCAGTGTGTATTTTATATAGGAGATAGTGCACGTAGCAATGTTGGATGCTGTACATACACCACAGGTCAACAGTTTGAATACAGTCAAAATGTATTTTTCGACTTACAAAAATCCAGTCCAAATATGTTGGGGTCAACCAAAAGTCCGAAGTTTTAAAACATTAGAGCGACTTACTGGTTATTTCTGACGATGGTGCATTCAAACTTTTGACATGTTGAGACATGTTATGAAAAACATAACAACTCATTCATACGGCTGTTTGGCAAATAGTATTTACTCGTCATTGTATCAATGGTGTTGTGATTTCTCTTTTACCAAATGTCATGAGCTCATAAATGTCAGAATATATGACGCAATGTCATTCATAAAATATTACACACATTTTACTTCATTCACAATGACAATAATTACTGTGCTGAAAAGCTTAACTCGTCTACACACTTTTGCTATTTAATGTGTGCTTACATGCCGAAAAGGTAATATTTACTTAATATTTTAATTCATTCATGCACTTAATCATACATGGAATCCCACGGTGCATTGCTTTCCTATGCAACTGTTACTGCAATGATGCATTTGAAATGTGCTCTTCTTATGAGCTGCAGCACATTTCTTCCATATCTAATTCATGGAAATTACGTTCTAATTATAAGAAATTTACATGTGAAATACGATACAATGGGATAGATTCTTCATTTAATTGTTTGGCTTTGCCGTAAGAGAAATAAATATTATTTCCTATATGTGAAATACCGAGAAAATAATCGGAAATACTCAAATATTTGCTGGAAATCCATATGGTGTAGATTAAATCATTTACAGATGAAGTATAATATCTCGAAAAATGCAAAATAAATCATAGTACGAAGTAAGCGAATTTTTTTGTGTATATGTGTGTCAAAGCCCTTCTTGCCCGTTGAGTGGAAATTTTTTGTGTTTAAATAAATTTAAGATCGATGACGTTTATGTACTCATAAATTTGATTACCGATAAAGTTAAATGGAGTGTTTCAGATTTTTGTTGTTGGCAAAACAAAGTTTTTGAATATAATGCTCATGTTGAGCTGTGCTATTTCATTTGCGTTGCAACTATAACATGATTCAAATCACCAAACGCCGATTTCAAAAAGAAAGATAGTGTATGTGTGTTACTTCGATTTTTTTTTGTGCAGTTCGCTTCTTCATGAGTAACTTTCAACAGCTTTATTGTTACTGCTTTTAATGCCAGCAACAATGCGCCGTACCCAACTTGTAAATATTTCTTCTCTTTGTTTTGTCAATGCACATAAAATATATTATTCCCTTTTCTTTTCTTTTGGTTGATGTATGTTATATAGCTTAGTGCATAACTTGATAATTCTCTAAGGAGAAATATGTATTTATAACTGAAGTGCCAAGAGAGAACGCGACACACAAACTCTGACTCGAAGAAAGTTAACTATTTTCGCTGAAGAAACAAACACCGCAAAAGAGAACGAACACAAAAAATTGTTTTATGTGACAAACAAGGCAAAAGAACGGACCAAAAAAACACATCCACCCACCAAAAAGGAATACGTGTACAAATTTGGAACGGGTAGTAAAAGAAAAAAAAACTGAACGAGTCATATCTCAGTAAAAGATGCCAAAGCAACAACAAAAAAAAGTCATGTTCACAAAGTTTTGTTCGACAGGAGTCGACGTCAACGGAGCCATCTCTCAAACTACTGCTCAATATACACCATTATACTTTTGCTAAAGTTTTGCAAGTGTTTCATACGTCCAAATAAATGCACGTGCAACGTTCATCCGCCGCAACGCAAACAGTATACCAAAATAACTAACATAGTTTTAGTTTTATATAGAAGGTTTTTGGTACGTGTTTCAACTTTGTGATGGATGAAATGCCAGCCACTGTTTCGATACGATTATTACTCCTTTTTTTTCTTCTTCTGTTAAATTTAATGTATATTGAAATTGCATTGGAAGATGTGATGTGGAATTAATACATAACACCAATATCGCCTTCGGGGCGAGTACACTACATACAAAACTTCGACAAAATCGAATTCAGAGTTTTGGAAATTTATTTTAAAAGCCCCTTCACTTCAATTTATTAATTTCACTAGTGTGAATTATATTTACTCTTAATCAGAATTGAAAGCGAGAACAGAATAAAGATAGGTAAACATACACCGGATAGTATTTATTTTTACTTCGTTAAAATCAGCTATCTGATGAGCGATGATGATAGGGCATATTCGCCTTTTGCGTCTATCAACAGTTAATTTGATTTATCGGGTTAGTCCATCTCAATAAATTATAATAACTTATCTCCGAACCTTCAAATCTCTGATGCAATGATATAGTCCAACATAAATCATGATATTCTATATTTCATATTTATTCATTGAATTATTATTAACAAATACAGTATTCGAGAGTCTATTCCATTTATGATGATGACACTGCCATGAGCGACTACATTATACTGGAAATTAAGTAAATTCTCATATTGATTGACGCATTATTTGAACATTATTATATTATTTTCATCAACAATAATATTGCCACTTTGACTTAATGCGAATGTTTTCCATCTATATAGCGTTCACCATAGCGTATATTGAACATACTTTTCGCTCATTTTGACATAATCTGTTGCAGCATCTATTGACAAGCTCAAATATTTCCATTGGATCGATTCGTATAGAAAACGATTAATCGACATTTTATTGACCATGGTGCACTTTTATTCTGATGAAGATTTACAGTGATTGATATGGACATGAATCGCTGGCATGTACTTTACGATGACTTTTATGAACAACCAGAAGAGCTTATATAGACATTTGAACATCCTATTGTGGACAACTATGAAGGTGACTGATGCATTTTAAAGCAAGGAGCTTCACAATTCTTTTCATGGCTGGAAAGGTATATCCCTCACCCTTGCGTGACATCCATCCATTTTGAAGCAGATTGGACGAGCAGATCATGGTCTTCCTACTAAAATGTCGGAGGTCGGAAATCATGGTCCATCAAGGTCTAACATAGTTATAATGCCTCATATAATATGGATATCAAAGAAAACTTAAATTGGTGAAATATGAGAGAAAAAAACGTTCGAAAAGAGTGGATTTGTTATATATTTTTCAACATATCTCACATTCAAAATTTTTATTGTACGATAACAAAAACGAATGAATCGTTTTAAGTTATGTTACATTGCCCGTCATTAGCTCGCGAGTAAAAATCACATATTTGTAAAAGAATCTGTATGGCTAGTATTTTATATTATAAACATGCACATATCATTTATAATAATTTTAAATTCGTATATCAATTTGTACACAATTTGGTAATTCATTCAAACTTTCATTGAATTATATGTGTATTTCTTTTGGTTAACGTGTGTTTTTCATCATTGTCATTTACAATGCTAATCACTTTTAGTTTAGTATGTAAACATTTTTTGGGAATCCATCTGTGGATCAGAGGCGAAACGAGTTGAAAATTGAAATTGCTTAAATCACGACCGCCAGTAAGATAAGAGATTGATACGCCTGGTATCCATACGCAAATTACTCCAATCAAAGTATACCAATGGGATGAAATATCATGGAGTCCAAACTCTTCGTCGGCTTCACCGTAAAGTATCTCTTCCGGACTGAAAGGAAGAGCCAACATTTCATCGATTTTTCTTTGGAAAATTTCAAATGAAATGCATGTAACACACTTACAATGATTGAACACGTGTTAAATTTTCACTATGGCATCCATCGATTGATGTTGGCATTATAGTGTGTTGAAGTTCACCTGTTGCCATATGATATTGAGCATTAACAATCAAAGAAAATACAACACACATGCTTAATATCGTTCCCGTTAAAAGGCCCTGTTGAAAGAGTTTTCTTTAGATTTACATAACAAAGTATTAAAAAAATTGATGAAAAGAACTTACATTAATATTTGTCCAAGGCCAAAATAAACCTATACCGCAAAACGATTAAATTACATAAAAATGAAAGCAAAAAGAATGAAATCTTAGCGAACCCATTGTGAATACACCAACTTTAGCTCCCGTTGTCATGCTGGTGACAGCATTTAAAACATGAAAAGCTGAATGAAATGTTTCCACCAATGTGCTGCTCATCGCACACCATGATCCAATGGCAAAGATTAATATACGCATCACAAGATTGGCGTTGGCATCATTGTCGGCAAACAAATTCAATGGGCGAATACAGTCTCTGTACAAAATGCCAGATAATGAGTGTAACATGGGCGCACAAACGCTGAACGATGCACAAAATAAAGAGGCAACAAATAGGCCGGGCATGCCAGCTATGTTGACAGCAATGCTTTGTGCAAATTGCGGCAATAATTTGTCATAGTTTGGTAGAATGCCGGCTTTAACCGGATCACAATGATAGTAAAAAGCCCACATAATCAAGCCAATGCCACAATTTATGAACAACATTACCGCAACGCCAGTAAATAATATCACAACTGTCCTAAGAAACCGAAAACTCGAAGAATTAAAACATTTTCTGGAATGTCATAATAGAAAATATGCGCACAGACCTTCTTGCATCCTGCAACGTTGGCAACGAAACAATTCGCTGAATGTTATTCTGACTGAAGGCTAAATGTGCAACCCACACCAAAAATGTACTGATTGAGAGATTCCATAAAGTTGTTCGCGTCGTCAAATTCACAGATAAACTATTTTCACGGCGAAATACCACAAATTTTAATAAATTGAAGTTGAAGTTTTTACTCAAATACTTTACTATGGTGAAAGCATTTTTTTTACATGGAGATGAAGCGGCGTGTTGTCAGTATTGATTCTTCTTGTTTTATATGTATCTCACTCACACAATTGCAGCCAGACATGATATTGAGATATTTTCAGGCAGCTAACGTCAGGCGCTGAAATGAAGTGAAAACAATACAACTGATTGTTATAGTGATAGCAAGTGTTTTTATAATCATAACAATTCTATTGTTTTCACTTCATTTTAGTGCCTGGCATTAGCTTCCTGAGTTGAATCTGCTAACGTTACTAAAGTCTGATGATAAATAAAATTTAAAACAAACAAAAAAATCTTACTCAGGTGTATCGATTCGACCTCCAACTACAGATCGGCTCCATATCTCATCCAATCCCACATGATAAACTCCGAGCGATGCAATAGCAACAATTGATAATGTCAAAATTATTGCATGCACACATCCAATTGAAATGATTGCTTTTAAGCCACCCTGGAATCAAACATTTTAACAATACACACCAACAATTATTTTGACACTAATCTCACTTACTAGAGCCGTATACAAAACGCAAATATAACATACTATCACATTCACCACATGCACATCGAATTGAGACACTGAAATAGAGACACATTAGAGATTGAAAAAGAGACAAAAAAAGTAATAAGTAGTTTCACAAAACAGCAAATCATCGTTTCTACACGTAGTAAGAATATTAACCATATATAATGTGGTTTTTTGCACAAACACAACAATTGACGTGGTTCGAATACAACAAAACGATGAATTTCTGTTTGTTTGTAATTCGGTACGGCTCCTATTGATGGGTGTCGAATATTTCTTAATAACTCAAATGAAACTTACGTTCAGCAAATGCACATGATGGTATGTACATTATCACAGGTAAATATAAAAAATTATTTATTGTAAATGCAACGATGTTGATGTTACGGGCCAATGGGCCGAACCGCAAATCTAAATACGTATAGCAGTTGTCCAATTTGTTTTGATATAAAATCGGTAAAAATATGTAACACAATGCAAACATAACTAGAAAAAGTGTTGGTATAAACAACATATATTGCCATCCATATGAATAAATTTCCACCGGCATTGTTAGAATAACCAGCGGTGAAATTTGACTGCAAAATAAATCACACATTATTACATTAACTGTCACTTCAGAAAATTCCAAATCGAATAAAAAATCCATCGGATGCATTTGAAAAAAAAACACTCGAATCACCTGGCTATCAATGACAGAGCCACCGGAAGGCTTTTCATTTTAAAGCTACCAAATAAAAAATCTTCCGTCGTCCGTCCACCATTACAAAAAAATCCGATAACTATGCCAATTAATAATGAGAATGATAGTAATGAAAAAATGATCGCATAATCGATCTGCGTAAATTGAACAAACGACGAAACAGCTTCATTCATTGAGTTTGTTTGATTCATATTTTTTACGCCGGAAAGTTGTTATTTTCACACGATATAATTAGTTTAAATCTAAGATGATAATTAATGCTTGCAAATCAATATATGATATTGATGTGAAAACTGCTAAGAAGTAAACTGTTTAGTGAAAGGTGCTCTGATCGACTGAGGACCATAATTTATAAATATATCTCCGTTAACAGAATGCTCATCTAAAACAACCAATACACATGAAATTCCACTCGTTCGATTCACATTCAAAGTTTTGCAAATTTTAAACAGACAAGCGAAAAGTGATTACGAAAAGGAAAAAAAATGACGAAAAAAAGCTATCGCTTTTTTTCATTATACATGGCACGTTATACCAACAAATGTGTGCCGTTTGTTGTGATCATATTCAAAAAAAATTCAATATATTATGTTTAAGAGTCACGTGAGTTTTCAAACCAGAATTGATACCCGACTGTCTATCCAAGTGCACAATACGAACATAGAGCACTGCTTTTGAAAAAACGAAACAAGACAAAAACGAAGCAGGGAAAAAAAACTAGTTGTACTGGCTCGCTCTTGAACGATGATTTCGAACACTTGGTTTGGCTGAATTGTATTCGATGTTCTGACCTTTAATTCAAAAAAGTCGTTATGATAGATTTTTTTAAACAAATGGGTTTTAAATTGGTTTTCATCAATGGGAAAATTTACGCAATGCAGTAATTTAATTCATCAATTTTGTTCAATTCATTTCTGTCAATTTTTCAGTCTTTTCAATTGTTTCGAAAATAATATTCGCTCATAGTTGCCCATTTTAATTGTTTAGCATGAATAATTGTTTCATTCATACCTGTTTGTTTATATTTTCATCCGGGTTCATGTTCGGCTATTCTAGAACCAAGCGGAACATTATTCTCTCATCAAAAGTTCCTTAAATTTGTGTTTGTAGTCACGTATGATTGAATTTTTTTTCGCACAAACCAAATTGTTGGCTCTGTGTGTATGTAATTGCGTTGCAAATGGAATGAATTTGACAAAAATATTTATTGAATATTTGTTTTCAGTTTATATAAAAACAAAACATATTGAACAAAATAGAAAAGTCATATAAAATTAAAAGTAATATACATACATATTTGTAGGTAGCATTTTGTTACGTGCATTTAGGAGGAAAAAGCAGAATTACAAACAATTGGGCAGGGATGACTACACTAGTCTGTTGTTTTACCATTTTGCTGTTCATTATTATGAATAAGTTTTAACACTTTTTTCAATTATTTTTATTTATGTAAATGGCAATCAACATGATAAAAATGTCAAAAATGAAAATCGATGGAAGTGTTTCGAAATATGAATATTTACAAATAATCTCAATTTGATTTGATTCATTTGTCAATGAAATTGGTATACACTGTTTATTACTTACAGTTAGACATAAAATCCAATTCAAATCGCGTGATTTTTTTTATTACAACAATCACAGCATTTGTCTCGTGCATTACAATTTCATCAATTGTTCGTTATAAATCACTGCATTATCTCAAGCACTTTAGGTAAACAATCAAATGCTTTGAACTTGACTGAAAAACCGTGATAGTGTTGCATATACCGTTTCTTTCACATATGGCATTCCCGTCTGAAAATGAAATCAAACAGTAACCACAAATAAGATCTTCCAATGTGTGGTCGAAGCAAACAGAGGTGAAGCGTAATCGACTGATTATCAGTTTCAACATTGACAATCAATTTTATGCGAAACTATTCAACTTCTTGTCTTTTTCTTATGAGGGCGAAGTCATAGATAACTATCAATAATGCTGTAATCATTATTATTGGAACTAATGAATGTTAAAATTCATCAGATGTTATTTATCATCATTCATTTGAGCTTATTTGCTAAATGAACACGACTTACGAACAACATTAATCTACAAAATATCTCCGTTAGACAAATAACTAATAATTGACTCTCTAGTTTTTTCTGCTTTGTGTATGTGTGCGCTCGCGACCGTATTCAAATGTGGATATGCTAAGAAGCATCAGTGGTCATGTGACTTTAATTAATAAAATAGCTTGGAGTTGTACAACTCAATAATTTTGAAATTCTATTTTTATTCACATAAAACTTGTTCTCAGAAAAAAAATTCCGTCTCCACTTTCAACTGGATTTTTACGATTTACACACGCCAGAATTTGATTGTATCCAAATTTAAATGTAACCTAACCACTTTGTGTCGGTCACTCGTTGTTTTACGTCGTGAAAAAAAGAGACAATATTATGAACAAAAATCTTACCTTTTTGTTGATAATTATATTGGCATTTTGTGTTGCGTTGCAACGACAACAAATACGGAGACTTTGTCACGATGCTGACCAAAAATATATATAATTACCTATGTAGAATGTGGTGTTCAATTTTGTGGACCTTCACAAAAACAATACCATTAAACAATTGGATATCAAACAGTGTACAACCATAGTGAAAAATCTTCTAAAGAAATTTGTCGTACTTACATTCAGTGCAAAATTGTTGGGCCTTTTTTTGCATATTACGTAAGTCAGTAAACAAATATTTACGATTAACATTTCATACACACACGCACACACCACCAAATTTTATTTATATTTACCGTAAAAGTTTAAAATGAGCGACCTTTGCATTTTATGAAAGTGAAAATCGTCCGCAACGTAAATAAAAGTGTGGAAAAGAGAACGGAACCATTTTTATCAAGAGAATGTCTATTATTGGGCATAAAAAGCACGATAATTGTAATAATGCGTTAGTTATATGGTGTGCCATAATTAAATAGATAATAAAATTGAGATCCATGTCGTGTTTTGTTCACTTCGGCCGCATCAGCATACAACCTGAGTTACTCCATTATAATGAAATCGCGAGCGTGCTTAAAGCGGAATCATTAAGATTATGATGGAACTTTGTGTTGTTGCTATTTTTTTATATGTTCGCTCATCTCATCATCCCTTTCAAAACATTCCATTCGTTCAAGCTTCTTTTCATATGCATCGCCGGACAACCGAACACGGACCAAGGAACATGAAAGACGATTATCCGAGTTTGGTTTTTTTCCTACAACATTCTATCCATTTAACGTCCGTAGAACAAAAAAAACAAATACTCGACATTTGCAGTCAACCGAGAACTTTTAGTCGCTCATTTTTTAATCGTACTTTTTTCATCCAGTGGCATTTTTTTACCTTCAAGCCTTAAGTCGGATATCGTGTTCAGGTTTTTTTTTACCGTTATTGTTGTTGTTGTTTTTTGTTTCTTTCATGTTGTCAGAATCGCAATTATAACAAAATAACTTCTTTTGCCTGTACTTGATTAACGATTGTACATGGTTTTTGCATCAGATTTAGGATATGGGAAAACGATTATTTAATGGTACTCTTTTTTTATCACAAAAAATCCCATTAAAAAATGAACTGGGAAAAGGGCAGAGAAGGCTTTCTAAAAGAATGAAAGAGATACAATCGTTATATAATCAGTTATTTGAGTGGTAGAAAAAAAAAGTTTGGCCGTCACTTGCATATGCAATGGTCACTGAAATGAATTTAATTGTCGACTATTCTGACACAATTACCACACAGATATCGAGCACATCAGATAGCTAGTAATTGGTTCATTTTATGTGCGTACGCAAAAACGCACACCACGGGAGAAAGAGAAAAGTTACAAAAAATAAATAAATATTAAAGTCGGTGAATGTTATGCAACATATAATGTATGATTCCATCGATATTTATGGGGACACTTGCAACCTATTTTTTCTGAATTTTTTTTTTATTTCGCTGTTTGTTTACATTTGGTTTGCTGCAATTTCATTCGATTGCACCAATTCAATATTAATAAAATTTATACGTATTTTTTGACGTTGTTCGTTTCTCTTCGTTTTTTTTTTGTATGAATGCTGCACGTGAAAATGAATGTTTGTGCTGGAAAAAAGGTTGGAATATAAATATATAATACATGTATTCAGTATACAGAATACTATTCACTCGATACGGAATCAATAGAGATGTTAATATCGCACTTTTTTGTGCGTTATGCCAAAAGGTTTTTTTCGCGTTGAACATTTTCAGTTGTGATATCCATGCAGAGTACTTTTTTTATTCGTTTTTGTAGCACATTCTTGTTGTTCATACCAATTGTTGTTGTTGTTTTCACCCGGAAACTTGATATTTAATAAATTACATTGTTTGTGTTCAGTTGTATTTGATAAAAATCGTTGCAAATTTTTTTCCAGCCGTTCTCGAACAAATTAACACATAGAATGCGGAAACATGAATAGATCGTCGAATGTATATATGAAATGACCATTTACAGTTGAACCAGAAAAGAAAAAAACGAGAAAATAATTGTGAAAAATTGCTCATTCACTAGGGCAATCGACCGGGAATATAAATAATTATGAGTGAGCCATGCGCCACACTACCACCACATTCGCTTCGGCTATGTATGTGCACGTGCGATTGAATGAAAGTGGCAACAAACAAAACTGTCTTTGTGAGCGTTCAAACCAACTAAAAACAAGACAAATGTGATTCGCTGTGAAATTATATGCGCATTGATTCATTAGCAACAGAACGATAAAAATGTATTTATGCATAGTGAATAGTCGACAATATTCACGCGTCGATTTGATTTCGCTAATAGGTTTTCTGATTAATTTGTACGTTTTTTTGAATAATTTTTATAAAAAATGCTTTTATTGTATACTATGTTGCAATTGCACGATCAATGTTACACATTACACACTTTCCCCCACCCCGCGCCCATTCAACCGTTCGTAGTTTCTCTTCAAATTCATCAACACTGACACTCTGGTTCCATTTTAACGAGACATTTTTTTTCAATTTTGAAATATCGCAAAATAAAAATAATAATAATAATAATAAACAAAGTAAATGCTCAAAAGCGACCAGAATTTCTGTCGCATACAACAATAATTGAATGAAAAAAAATTGAGTTCAAAACACAAAGCTCAAAAGAAACAAATCGTAATTTATTGACTCATTTGACTTTGGTGTCAACGTTAAATCGATTAATTTGAATCAAACCGCTCATTTGCTACCACCATTTCGAATGGCCATAGCAATGACTTTCTAGATTCATTATCGTTACGTGAGTCCGATAAATTAGTTTCCAATTCAACTCCGATCAATTGGCATCGAACCATAACGAACGTGAATTCAGACAGTTAGACTCGTGTAGAAAACGCTTGACCACATTTTGTGTAATCACTTTTTTGTTTGCTTTATCGTTTATCTTTTTTTTTTGGAAATAAAGTGAAACTAAAGTGCCACAATGACCAAGGATGTGACATTGGAAGAATTGGTGATACGTGAAAAGAAGCCGGAAACGGTTGAAGAGGAGTTTGAAGCATGTGTGCGTCGAACCAATATTTTGAAAATGGATTTCGAAGATGATATCTATGAAAAATCAACGATTGTGCAATTCTTCAAAGGAAAATGTGTTTTTTTAACGGGCGGTGCTGGGTTTCTGGGACAACTTTACATCGAAAAATTACTACGGTAAAATATTTGATTTTTAAAATGTTCATCCAATGAATGACCATAAAATTCCATACGTTCCTTTGGTAGAATCGGTGTTAGTCGAATTTATTGTTTGTTGCGACCAAAAAAGAATCTAACGCCGGAAGAACGTGTACGGAACATCTGCTCCGGACCGGTAATTCATTTTGAACAGAATTCGCCGATGATTTGTCATTAAATCGCATCGTATCTCTATGTGTGTGTGTGTTTTTTCGTAGGTATATCAACGTCTACGCGATATGGATCCGAATTTTCATGATCGAATCAGTGTGATAACCGGTGATTTAAAAATGGTGGGCGCTGGCATCTCGCCGGAAGATGTGGATATAATGTGTAATGAGGTTGAAGTTGTAATTCATGCAGCGGCCGATGTTCGTTTCAATATTCCGTTGCTTGAATTGGTGGAATCGAATGTTCGTGGTACGAGAGATATATTGGAAATTGCCAAACGAATGAAACGTTTAGAAGTATTTGCATACATTTCAACGGCCTATTCACATTGTCCACGCGATGTGGTTGATGAAAAATTTTATGATCCACCAATGGAACCGGAATTCTGGCTAAAGATGTTGGACCGTTGTAAAAGCGCTGCCGATAAGGAAATTATTGATATACTTGAACAGCAGATCATGAATCCTTGGCCGAACAGTTACACCTATACGAAAGCACTCAGCGAGAGTTTGGTGAAACGTTACAGTGTTCATTTTCCAACCATTGTTATTCGGCCATCAATTAGTATGTGATATATTTTTTTGCTATTGTTTGCTAATTAAGTCGTTAACTTTGTATATATAATACGTTAATTGATTGTTATTTTTTTCTACAGTTGTATCCACGTATCAGGTAATTAGGTCATTGACTTGAATGCCGGAACATTTCGCGAAGATATCAAAATTTTCAGGAAATGTTTCGGCCTTCCATTAACTTTACGAATTTTTTTCTCTGCAGGATCCAGTACCCGGATGGACGAACAATATAACTGGCATAAATGGTATTTTATAATAACAAGAAGTAAATTGTATATTTCATAATTTCATTTAATTTGTGTCATAATGCAGGTTTGTGTGTTGGTATTGGCGTGGGATTTTTGCGTCATTTGCATGTTGAATATGATTTTGTCATCGATATCATTTGTGCGGATTTCGTGGTAAATACAACGCTTGCGGCAATTCATCTATGCAACGAGAAGCATAGATCTCATAAGCAGATACCTGAAGCAGAAGTGTTTCATTGTTCAAGCAAAGGCTTTATGCTAACATCAGGTTTTTATAACACATTTTTCTGTTCTTGTTCGCATTGCCTTCAATCTTGTGCATTTTACCTGAAATTTTAGAACAATTGGGACGAGATGCGATTACACTTCGCCGTTATGAGCTATTGCATTCGATGAAATGCATTTATTATCCGGTTATTACGTTCACGCATTATGGATGGCAAGATTCGTTGGCAACACTATTTCTACAGGCGCTACCGTGCTATTTCATGGACTTTTTTAATCCAGAAAAAATTCGATTGTTGGCCGTTTCACGTAAAATCAAATCGATGAAAAACGTTATCTCATTTTTCATGAGCAAGCGCATACACTTTGACAATACGAATGTCGTGCGAGAAGTTTACGACCGGTATGTTAAATGGCACTTACCTACTGTTTTACATATTGATAATGTGCACACGTTTTACATTGTTCTTCACATTTGAACTAGTTAATTTATGGTTTTAAGTTTGATTTCGTTTTTGTTTTATTCTTTCGTTTCAAATTTGTTCGATATCACGGTGCGGTTACTGCGTAAAAACAACAATAACAACAACAACAACAGCATGACGGACGTGGATAAAAAACTATTCCCATCCGATTCGCGTAATTTTGAATGGCATAAATTCATTTATGCATACTTTGCCGGAATGCGTGTCTATGTGCTTATGGATCCATTAGAAACGTTTCCAAAATCGAAATTGAAATTACGCAAATTAAAATACATTCACTACACACTAAAATATTCATTCATTACCATTTTAGTCCTGATACTGTATGCGTATGTATTGAAAAGGTTACTGAATCTACTTTTATGATATGTGCTTTTTGTGTATGTGGATAAAGCGAGAGAAAGAACGTAACGAACATTTAAATGCTTGTACGCTTCTCCATCATGTTGGTTATATTGTAACCGCATTTGTTCAGTTAATTAATTACAATAATTTCCATTGTTAAGCATAATTGTGTTCTGTTCGCTTCACAAACCGATTTGTATCCTTTTCTTTCTCTTTCTCTCGCTCAATATCCACAGTCCACACTCATGCACCATGTATCGTCACTCTTTTTTTTTCTTCTCTCTATTATTACGGGCATTATGTTGAAATAATAAATCGTGTTTTGTGTTTTTGGTATCGTTTTGTGAATAAAATCTGACCATATACCGCAAAAACTCAATAAACATTCAATTAAAATCATGTAAATGTTTTGAATATTGTAAATGCATGTGCGTGTATGCGTGTTTGTGTTCAGTTGAAATGCGATGAGTGTTCAGCCAAAAGTTTATTATTTGTCAACTTTTTTTTTATATTTCATTTCGATTGGAATTTCTTTTTTTTTTTTTTGTGTGTTAGTGTGCATCATCGAAACTAACGGATTCCAAATTATTGCACAAAAAATGCACGACAACATAATTTAATTATTCATTCCGGTAATTATGTGTGTGTCATAATATCTGTTTAAATTCGGCTATTATAATGTTTAAACTTGGACTCATTTAAATCAAAACAGTGAACACACGAAAAAAAATGCAATCACAGAATTAAATCGAGACATATCGCATTTCAACCGAGACATACACACAATCACATGCACATTTAAAAGTAACATGGTTTCACATCTAATCAACTTGTGACACAAATTAAGTTATATTAGTCATCATTGGGTTCAAATAAAAAAAACAAACAAATAAACACGATCATATTGCTTATATTTACAAAAACAATCACGGTATTGCTTTTATTCAAGTTCGATGAAACAATTTGTTTTTAAACATCTAGCTTAACAGGTATTTTATAGTAGATGAGATGTGAATCGTTTTCATCAGGCGTAACAGTCGTTGATGCCATGGATCACATTGCAAATTTGCTTATACCGCTCCTTTCCACCAACCGGTCTTGGTGCTTGCGGTTGTTTTACGTGCGCACGATGACGATGTTGATAGTTATTTCCAAAGTTTGAATTGTTGTCAAAGAAGAATTCCAGAATCGGTTTTGCCTCCGTCTCATGGTGCACAGCAATCACAAACACGCAAACAATCAATAAAACTGAACTCACACGAAAATACATCGTAGTTGATTTTGATCTTCCTTTCTGTTTGCCAATTAAAGTGTGTGGTTCAATACTTTTTTTATATCGATATACGGTTTGAATATTCTGAACTGAGCTTGACTGAGTCTACCGCAGCTTGGAATGAATGGCGAAGAAAGTTTTACTCTCATTATATATTTGTACGTGGTAGCACAGCAATTACAAATGAAGTGTTAAAAACTCATAAACAATGTCGTGCCACTGATAAGCAGCGTTTGAACGATTTACACAGACCAACAACAAACAGAAGTCGCATGTTTCATCTCAGCAAACGTAATTTTTGCCTATCGAATTCAAAACAGTGTCGAAGTATATTTATCATTAGTACGACGGCCTTGGACCATTGCCCGTGGACCTGTTTACTGTACAGTTTTTTTTGCCTCAGGAAGTGGATTTGCGAACAAACAGTAATCGCATAAAATTTCACTCAATTTTGAGTGTCAAGAAATTCACTCAATTTTGAGCACTTTTTTTTCAATCAAATAAAACACATTTCAATTGAGTAGTAGTTCTTCCATCTGCCTTGAATGCTTTATTTTATAAAAATTAATTAATTGCTAATACAAGGTGACATTCCTTTTTGCAAATTCTCTATCTACACCATTAATTTATTGTCTTACATTAGGTACTTTTTCAAGAATAGTTTGTAAAAAATAAACAAAATGACCGCAATAAATGTGTATTTAACTGAATAGTGTAAGTATTTCAGGAGATGCATACGTTTATACGCTTGTTTATAGTTATCGAATGAATCGTCCAATAAATGTTTACGAGCGCCAATCACATAGATAACGTAGTATTTTTTCCAGTCAACAATGCGCGGATCACAAATATAATATTTTCGATCATATTCCGTCATCCTATAGCGCAAAAAAGGGTAAATAAATCGATTGCCGGAAACTGATTGTGAAGGCGATACAAAAGAAAAAGTTCAATTTACCTATCTATTACGTTAAATAGATTGTCGTTATCAAACACAAACTCATTATGAATGAAAAATTTGATGACATCGGAAAACATCAACATCTTACGAACAATTGGTGTTAACTTGTACTTTGATTTAATGAATAGGTCCATAATCATCGACGGGATCGCTTGATAGAGTATGATGAGTAAGTTATCGTGCAAATCACTGTAGGTCTTTTGACAAACGGGATACCATACGCAGTTCATTGGAGCTACCAATTTTCGGCCACATTCCACTAAATAACTCACAGTATTATCTGAAAACAAATAACCACAAAACAAATATAAAATTCACATAAACTGGTGACATCATCGCATAATTATTAAATGGCTATTGTTCTGTACAGAAGAAAAAAAATGTGGGACATTTCATTATTGAAAACAATTCAAAGTCATTTTTTTCATCTCAACCATAATAAGTCTCGATTGCCGTGTGTGTTTGGTGTGTGAACACAAATTGGCATATAAAATTCTGAATGTGTGTCGTGCAATAAATATGAGACAAGTTGCGCATTGCGCATGCAATTCGTAATTCGTTTAGAAAATGAGTTTGGCAAATGGCACACAACAATTATCATGTTATTTGACTTGAAACCGTACACAAACCAAACGGCATACACGATATTTTAGGATATCATAATCGGATGCACCACTTTTGCCATACAATATTCAACAGGATTATCATGTACTATTTAACCGTTCGTGTATCAACATTCACATTTGTTTTGTGCATTTGCATTTTCCGAAAGCCAGACATGAAAATATTAAATGCGAATTCGTCACCAGATGAACAACAATTTGCAAATTGAAAGCAACGATATGATGCGATGTACGTAATGCAATCAACCAAAAATGCACAATTTCTCGGCATACCAATTTAGCAATATTCCGATATTAATACATTGAAATATACTTCATATTTTCTATCGCTCATTTCTAATTTCGGTTTTTGTCTATCGCTGATGCGTGTGCGTTCAAATAAATGTGACACCAAAAAAAAACTTACCAAATATCAATGCTGAATCGCTAACGCGATTAATATGATAGATTTTCGCCTCGAATTGTGTACGTCCGTATTCATTGAATGTATGCCATGCAATTGCAAGAGCGCCATTTGTACAAAAATCAGCACACACGATGTTCAACTCGACGCTTTTATAAAATAAATTTCGCAGCAGACCACCGCCAATGCCTACAATTATTATTTTATGAAAAGCATTTTAAGCACAAATAACATTTCATCTACTAAATAAATCATGACCGCATTTCAAATGTAACCGAAAACTAAATGCACGTATCTATACATGATGTGCTAAACGATCAAAAACTCACCTGCCACAACACCATTCATTCCTATATTTCGGTGAATTGTAGCGTACATAAAACGAATAGAAACATTTGAAGTGTAAACTTAAAAGTTTTCTGAATTAATTTGAACCTACCTCCGTACGAATTCGTCCATGCAACAATTGGGTCGGCGAAAGTTGAGATTACTGTGAAAAGTTTGAGAAAAATTTATAAATGGAAATCAGAGAAGACGAAAAACAATAGTTCATCCTGAAAGTTGAAACGACGCGTTGACTCGAGAAGTGCTCAAACGTGTGAAATTTCACACATATTTCCATAGTCAATTGATTCGCATTTGAATTTCTATTGAATATTGAATACACAAGTCAACACACTAATTAGTATTTTAACAACAAATAAATGTTGGCATTACCAATAGTTGGTCGAATCACTGCAATTGGAAAATGGATGCCGTATCGTCGAACCATTGATTCGCTCAGTGCTTTTGAAAATGTGTAATTATTGGGCCACGGTTCAATTAAATTTGGTGCAATTATATTCAGCATTTCTTTATCACTTTCCGATTGATGCATTACAACGAAATCGATTAAAATATCAGCATTCATCGGCGGTTCATAAAATTCTTCCTTCATATGGTTCTTTGAATTCGCCTTTGTGTTGGAAAATGCCGTTGACATGTACACGAATACCTGTAACTTTTTCATTTTCGTTGATAATTCAAGTAAATCCCGTGTTCCCACCAAATTGCACCATATTAGATTGTACAATGGTTCGTTAAAACGAACATCGGCAGCAGCATGAATTACGATTTCAACATTTTCTTTGAGTTTCGTTAAAATTGCATTGTCGTGAATGCCAAGTTGTCGTTGACTCAAATCACCCGTAATAATTTCGATTCGATCCAAAAAGTTTGGTACATGTTTATGTAAATGCTGAAACACTGGTCCTCTGCACACTTTTTCAAGTCGTTCACGCGAATCGCGATTCTTTTTCGAACGCATCAACACATATATGTGTTTTGTGCCTATCCTAAAATTGAATTTTTTTTCTTCACTTGAATCATTTGCTATTTCTTTGTGAAAATCACACATTTACCGTAGCAATTTTTCGAGCAAAAGCTGACCCAAGAATCCAGTCGGTCCCGTTAAAAACACCGTTTTTCCAGCATAAAATTCAGTTATTGGTGAATCTCTTGGTATCGATGGATAAACAACGTATTCACGTTCAGTCAATTCAGCGAAATCCGAATTGGTTGTAATCACTTCATTTGGATTCATCGTTAATGTATTTTTCACTTTTTAAAAATTGACAACTTCAAAAATCACTTATTCACTTGTAGTTTAAAGCAAATTTTTTATTTTAAATTGTGATGCCTGATGATGTTGAGCAAAAAATAATTTATCCTCCTGTTTTTGGTGACACAACAAAAATAAAGGAAGTAAATAATGTGTCAGATTTCGAGCAATTTCTGGTGAACTGGTGTGGTGGTTTGTAATCAAATGGCAATCAACATTGAAATTAATTTCGGTTTCAAGCCTTTTGGCATTGTAACCCCTTTTTGTTCGAAAATGTAAATGTTATCAGTTCTTTTCGCCATTTTATTCTGTTCAATGCATATTTAATCTATTCGGTTGCCTTTCATTTTCGATTTATATTGTTTTCAACATTTTTCCATTTCAAATGACAATGAAATTTCAACCAATATCAGTTGTGACATGCGATCCAAAGTGACACTGAATTTTATTTAATTTACATAAATAATTTGTTGTTCGTTTTTTTTACGCACTTCGTTCCGAGTGCAATCAAAATGAATAGTTAACAAGCGAAAATCGAAGTGGACATTGAGGTGCACATAAAAAAAACACCAATCAGAAGATCCATCAAATTCATTGAATTTTAATGACTGTGCATGGAATTTTGTTGGAAATGGTTACTTTTTGCTCTGTTTCCAATTCGATTTGATTCAATTAATGGTGTTTTCAAAATCATGGCTTTGGACAGCAAATTATTTTGGTGTGTGTTCGTTTGAATAAAAAAAAATTGAATGATTTTACTACGCATTCGTTGGGCGTTTTTTCCATCAAATTCAAATGAATAAGTTTATATTACACAAAAAATTGGAGATCTTCTCTAATGAAACAGACAGTGTTTGCAACAGTTTAAAATCGATGTTGAATGTAATGGTTGATTTTTGTTTCACAGAAAATTAATTCAATTAAAAATCAGATATTTCTCATTTCAATCAGAGATGAAAGCATTGCTCAATTACATTGACCTGAATTTGTTTCAAAGAACTCACCGAAAAGAATGTATAAAGTTCTTATCAATGCTCACACATCAATCTGTCGATACGCAATTGAATATGTGCGTGAAAGTTTCTTATTGAAATTATCGTATCGCTTCCATTTTTCACATGCACGAAACGTACCGAAATTATTAATAGAATAAAAGTATTGTACTGATAATAAATTGAGAGAACTGATTACATGTCTTGTATCTCTTTCCTGTTACGAATGCCAGAACGTTTCAGAGAAAGAATCGAAATTCAATTACACTCCTATTTTTTTTTATTCGAAATCATGAGTTCGGAGTTAATTTCTCTTCCACTGAAATCGTAATCAATTGAAGCATTTCGTTGTAAATTTCAGTCGACTTACGGTTTTGCGTCAGTGCAATTAGTCTGTGTATTATGTATTAATTATTGTTTGAACATCACTAGCAATAAGGAGCAATCAGTGTGCATTTGAAATGTGTTGTTTTTTGCATGGAAAAATGTTGTGGGTAATGTATCAACTGGTGCAGTTGTTCAATGTAAAAACAGTTTTACCAACACTTGTTGCCATTCACGAAGTTTTAATGAGTCTCAAAACCCAAAGACCATTTGTAATATTCTTTTGTTTGTGTTTTATCGATTGATTTTAATAGGTGACCGTATTGTTGGTGCTCGTCTTTGACATGGTGGTTTCAATGAATGACGGTCAAAAACCGGGGGTGCACATCCATTTCCAAGAAATTATGGGCAACAATAATGAAAAAATGCTATACAATGTGCCGCCAAATGAAGTATCATCGCCGTTCGTATTTTCGTCACAATCGCAATTTTCGTCATCGTCGTTGCCATTTTCGTCGACATTGCCGTCGTCAGTCACGGTACGCCCAAGCACATTAAGTGAAATTACGAAAGAGCCAATCAACGATGATATGAAACAAAAAATGACGGATCTCACATCTCCAGATAATGGTTATCAGTCGATGAAACGTGCCGTTGACACATTGGAAATGACTCTTGGCTCATTCAACGAAAAAATGGAAAGATACACAAACATTTATGGCAGCGAAATGACATTTTTAACAACGAAATTGAACAATTTGAAAGACAAACTGAATACTCTTGAGATTTTAAATCATGACATCGATCAAATAATGAATCATCAAAATGCGGCCGAACAAAAATTACAAGTGATTCAAGAGGCAATTTTCGGAAGTCAATCAATAAATGGTAAATTAGATCGATTGGAAGTCTCTGTGCAACAATTGCATGCACGAATCGATGAATTAGTGCTGGAACAGAGAAAATGCACCACGCAAACGAATCGAAATAAAAAACCGGACAAGGACACACCATCGGAAAATGATGAACAATTTCGAAATGTTGAATCGAAAATTGAGCAATTAGTTGGATTCGTTCATAGTTTTGCCGAATTGAATCGATTGGAGAGTAGTGATATTTTAAATCGACTTGGGAATATGCAATCACAATTGATCCAATTCTTTGACGCAAATTATTTTAATCAACGAAATACTAACGATACGATAAAACAAGACTCCAAGGATGATAACATACAATTTTCAAAACGTGTAAATAGCACAACTATATCAAAAGATGCAAATGAATTGAACTCAAGTGATGTGATAACAGAGTCTCAACTAAAAACTACCCCCGAAATGCCATCGACATTATTGCATTTGAACGATGACAGAAAATTATCCACTTCAAATGGAAAATTCATTCGCAAACGCAAACGAATGACAAATATGGTAAGTTAACTTACGACGATGATGACTCAGAATTGACATGCAAATTTATTACGTTTGACCTGAATTCAATTCAATTTAATTTTCTCATTCGCAGAGAAATCGGTCCAAACGAAACCAGGGCATCATTGAAAATGCATTTCATTTGAAAACTTCAAACCATTCGGCGGATGTGATACAACATGGCAATAGACAAGACCGCATTTACAATTCGATGCCAAATTTGGATAACCACCAAACGGATGTTGAGTTGGATTACAGTGCAATTAAGAGCGGCACACAAGTCAGTGCAAGTAAATATTTATATGGGACAATTCGAGCATTTTTCTTCACATCTATGATTCATTAAATTGATTTTGTGCACAGAATACGGTCAACCAACACGCAACGGATGTCATGCACTTACAAATTTAGAAAGTGGCGATGAAATTCATCGTTTTAAAATCGCAAACGGATTTTCGGAGCGGCTCTGTTCATTCGATAAAATTGGTTTGGCTTGGACTGTTATTCAATCAAGAGGTCATTTCAATGGCATTTCAATGCCGGAGAACTTTAATCGCTCTTGGAATGACTATAAAATTGGCTTTGGTAATTTAAGCGGTGACTTTTGGTATGGCAATGATCTTTTACATAAACTCACATACGACGATGACATGGAATTGAAAATCGTATTGGGCACGTGGGACAATCGTTCAACTGAATTTCGTTATGAAATATTTCGCGTTGATTCGGAAGACAATCGATATAATTTATTTGTTAGTGGTTTTAATGGAAGCGATAAGAGTTTGGACGCAATGGCATACCATCACAATCAAGATTTCAGCACTTTCGATCAACAAAACGACAAGACCGGCATCGATGGACGTCAAAAGTGTTGTTCATGTTCACAATCCTATGCCAGCGGATGGTGGTTTAATAAGTATTGTCACTTTGCAATTGAATTTAATTCAAACTGATTTTTAATCTTAAATATTTTAGCTGCATCGAAGCCAACCTGAATGGTGTTTATCGATTTAATCCTTTGAATAATAATTATGTTGGTATTATTTGGGAGAAATGGCTCGGAGATTACTCACTTAAGTCAACCAAAATGATGATTCGACCAAAGGTGGTTTGGTCACCAAGTACATCACACGATAATTCCAATATGAAACCACAAGATGATCCATAAGATTTATAGCGCACGATTCAATTTATAAGCAAAATCTAAATATAAGCATTTTAATATATGTGCAATTGATAGTTTTTTTTTATTTTGTACAAGCAATAACAATAAACATTGAATCCAGTCATAAGTTATAAGAATTGTTTATTTGTCGATTTATTTCAAATTTACTTTGAAACAAATGAGAAGTTCCTTAACATTACGATTTACACTGAATTATATAAATAAATGCAAAGTTCTTAATTTCATATACAAAAATTATCACAAAATATTGAAAACAATTATACATATGAACAGACCAAGTGCATTCACCGACGTATCGGATTTTTGTTTTAGTTTTATTATAATTAAATATAATAAATATGTTCAAGAAATTTTGGAAGTCAATGCAAGTCTGATTTTTTGCTAGATTTTTATTTTTTAAGTATATATAAATGGGCTATAGTCGCCAAGATGTCAGTTCAATTCTGTTAATCGATGAATACACTAAAATGAAGACATTTATTATAATTTTCTTGATGTTTCTTTCATATTCGACTGTGCTTAGCGAAGGTTTAGTTCAATTATTTTTCAAAATTGATCTAACTTTCTTGACTTGTAAATTATTCAGATTTTGATGAAGATGATCAGACTGACACAGATTTAAACATAGATGATGACGAGGATGATGGCGATGATGGCGATGATGGAGATCAACCAATTTTTGTGCCTCCTGAAGTTATAGTAGACACACCAACTGATCCCGAATACCCATGACCCAGCACTCGCGGATTACTTCGGAGAGTCCATATTATGTCTCAATGAACTAAAAATCCGAAATTATCACTTTAATTGAATATAAGATAAAAGTTATCGTAGAAAGCTTGACATTTTCTAATAAGTATTTTGAATGTATTTGGTAACAAGTATTACAAATAAAATACGCATTAAATACGCAAATAATGACATTTTTACACTTTATTTATTATAAAAAATGGAATTTATGCAAACTTTGGCAAAACGAATTCTTTTCAATTGAATTTTCAGCGCTGTTGTATTTTCTGAATTATTCAATCGAAATTTACAGCAGACAAATATTTTTATTGTTGTCTGTTGCTTTTGCTTGCTCAAATCGCCAACACTGAGAACATTGGTAAGAATTAATGCGAAAATGAATATATTTTGATTTCTGACTACAGTTTTATTCCTACTTCTTTATGCACAAAGAAAACATTTTTTTAATCTAAATTGAGTGTGTTGAACCACTCATTTTAAGATGAAACCTAAAAGTTTTGACACAGCAGTGTCTAAACGTTTATAATATCAACAAAAATAGAACACTTACGAATTTCATTCAAAATCTTCTCATATCAGAATTCGTTTTCTGTAATAACAAAAACAAACACATTTTTAAATTCAATTTATTTATTTATATTTAATTTTTTTTTTAATTTTTGAATAAGAGGTTTAAAAAATAATTTTAAAAAAATCTCACATGTAAACAAAAAAAAATTTCCCCTACCGGGAATCGAACCCGGGCCTTCTCGGTGAGAGCGAGATATCCTAGCCACTAGACCATAGAGGAGACAAGTTTTAAGCCACTTAACGCATTCATATATCACTGTGATCAGCTGTTTTCATATTGACTTTTACATTTTAGACCAGATGATGTTTTCTGTTTGCCATTCGTATTGAATTACAACAATTCTGCTACGTATAAAAACATTGAAGCTATAGCAATGGTTTCGCATCAAACACATCTAACGTTTTATGCAAAATTAATATGTGTTGAAATTTCCATTGGTACATAGAAAAGCCATAAGAAAAAACAGTCCAACATAAAAATTGAATATAATAATTACATCCGTGAAAGGTCTAAAAATAAAATGAAGAAAAGCAAAAAAATATTACTGCATCGGCCGGGAATCGAACCCGGGTCGCCCGCGTGGCAGGCGAGCATTCTACCACTGAACCACCGATGCTTGTGATATACTAAACATTATTTATCGCGGTATTTCGAAGATTCTCCCTGGCCTTTTATTGCATGAGAAATAATTTTAACTGAAATAATGACAAACCATTTTAAATGCCACTTACACAAACGGCTGACGAACAAAGTAAACGGTAATATTGTCAATATGCAATATTTAAATTTTAATTAGTATTTTGTCTAAAGAGAATGTCGTTGTTTGCCTCTTCGAAAGACTTAAACGTCATCCAGTCCTCTACATGAATTGTTGAAATAGTGAGCATCGATCACGTAGAAGCACGCGTTGATAATAGCAGCGTCTGTTGCTATGAAGATGATTAAAATCAAGAGAATGGCAGGCATGTGTTAGCTATTCTATTGATCATATTCGGTGACTTGTTGATAATGAATGGTGTTTCTATCACAAGCATCGGTGGTTCAGTGGTAGAATGCTCGCCTGCCACGCGGGCGACCCGGGTTCGATTCCCGGCCGATGCAATAATATTTTTTTCGTTTTCAAACAATTCATTTCAAAGAGTTATCCGTCTATTGTCGGAGAGCATTCCATTCGACTGTTTTTTTTTTTTATTTTCATTATTCATAATTAGTTCCTGAAGGCATTGAAATATTTTCAATATTCGAAATAAGAATTTTCGGATGTCGTATTTGTTCAAACGGCATTTTCCATGTTTGGTTTATCACAACGACATTATACTTATCACATTTCCGTGCAACGTATGCGTTGCGGTATCATAGTATTATAGTTTTTTTCGGACTTTCTAAAGATTACCATATATGTACTCATCTGTTCTTTGACACATGACCATTTTCAGTTGAAGTTCATAGCAGTGTTCAAAAGATAAGAATGCTTCCATAAATATTTAGCATAACCTATTGAGAACAATAGTAAACAACTATTTAAAAAAACTCAAATAAGTGGGATATAGCCGGAGAATGAATATGAGATTTGCTGAACAATTTGAAGCGCAACCATACCCATGTTATATCCAAGTAAATCATACGTCACGAGTGAGTCATATGGCAAAACCGTAATTCTGATTATTGTTAGTAGTTATAATTATACCGAAATGAGTTTGCAGAAATTTGAGCCGAATTTGACCTGATATGACGCATCGGCATTAGTAAACATTCAGTTCATGAATAATAATAATTCAAGGGGAAAAAAGTCTAATATGAGTCTGTTTAGTATTATGGCTGGTGTCAAAAATCAAAATAAAAAAACACAAAAAAAGTCATCGTTGTTTTTCTGATTTTTTCTTCATTTATTTCAAGAACTATGATATTGTTCCTTTAATTCCTTTTAAATTTAAAAGACATTAAAATTTATACACATTCAGCTAATCTCCTAGTTTATGCAATAAAAAAAAATTGACAAATCAATACTTGTATCTTATATTTATGAATTTAAAATTCTCACACTAAATTCATTAAACATGATAGCTGAGTGCTTCATTCCATAAATTATATTAATTTATTCTGGCCACAAAATATCAAAAAATCGCTAAAATTGTTTATAATAATTTGTCCGGAGGGCGGCATAATATCAAATGCCTAATTATTTGCCTCATCTAATAAGTGCGTAAATTGGTCTTTTGCATGCATTCAATTTGATCAAGAGTTTTCTCATTAATTTTTGTATGTATTTTATGTATTCGGTCATTTATCACCGATAGAGAATATGATTGGCGTATCCACGTCTATATTTGGCTTAAATGTAGTTGTATTTTTTTTTGTTAATTCTTCTTTGCAATAGAGCAAAATTGTTCGAAAAATTCGTCAAAAAACATCATCGTCAAAAAACATTGTAAATGTAGTAAATGTATAAAATACAATACAAAAAATGTATGTAAATGCTGTCGATGGAAATACAAAGGCACAAAATGCAATGTATGACTTGTGTGAAGCTGCAATGTGTTTGATCAGGTGTTTGTTTCCTGCGTTCATACAGCTATCATCATGATCATCACTGGGAAGAGCAGAAAAATTACAATAATTTCTACGGTTCGCTTGTGAAAAATATATATCGGCTTTGTTTGTCATGTTATTGTGATTTCATCATAACAGCAGCACAATTAATTACAATTCAATCAGTAAACTAGAGGGTTTTTGTTTGATTTAGAATTATTTCCCACACTGTATTTGCTTTCCTCTGTTATTTTGTAGTTAAAACACGGCAATTTCATTTAATTTTTCGTTTTTTTTTTTATATATTTTTTTGTTCAATCAAATTCAGTCGATTCAGTCGACAATACACATACGCTTTCAATTGAAAGAATTCTCTTATACAAAAAAATGCTTATCTTCTCTGTTTTTCGTTTGCCTTTATTTGCATCAAATTGTACTTGATTTATATTATTTTGTGTTCGTACTGTTTGCACTAAAAAAGAATTAATAATAATTTTGGATTGACCAAAGAAAAAAACCGTAACATCGAACCGAATCAGGGAAATTCATTGACTGCACCTGTGATTTCGTATCCAAAATTAATCAGCAAAATTTTCATTTTGATTTGATGCATTTCATAGAAATAAATTAAAGGCAAAAATATCAACAATTTTAATATCTAATGGAAAAGTCTAAAATGAATCGAATGTACGAAAATGATGAAAGGGGGGAAAAATAGGAATAAAAAGAATGGAAATAAAACCTTTTGCTAAATATAAAGAAAATATACAATTGAGCGATTGAACTAAATGAATGAAATAAAATGCAAATTAGAACATTTCGTTGCATGTGCCGATTTTCGGGTGTTCAAAGATATTAAATTTATATTGATAGGCAACAATGCACGTGCTTCATTTGACTTGATAAAATGAATTTCTTGACAATTTTCAAGCTTATTTTCAATATGATAATTATTCTAATATAATAATGACTTGTCTTTTCCAACCACACATCTTATGACTATTCCAAGCATACTGTTTCATTTCACATGACAATACCAATCGCAACAACATTCACACATACAAATAAACACATCAATTGTTGCTTCATAAAAGCCAAAAATAGCAAACTAAAAACGAGATAAAACGAATACAAAAAAAAAATTGTTGAATTTTAAAAAGGCACAATTCACAATCTTTGAAGCGAATTTTCTGCGGCATAGTTTAAATTATTAAAACTCCCATAAATCAATTAAAGCGCAGAATTTTAATTTACATTCGATGAATAGCAATGAATTAATAAAAAAAAATGTTTGTTTTTGTCACTTGTCTCTGTGATAATACTTTTCTATTCTTCTTCCATTTTTTTTCGTCGTTGTTTTCACAGCCATCAACACGAAAATTTATCCTTTTTTATTCCTGTATTGCGTCTGTTTGTATTTCGTTGCAATGCCTGTTTTACTTGTTTCGTTTAATTTCTCTATATCTCATTAAAATGTATGTTTTTGAAGGTGTAAAAAAATGTAATCGAAAATTCCAGCCAAAAGCAAATAATAACAATAATTTCGAAAACAGAAACGTGCACTTAATTTTTCTTTATAATACTAACAAACTTCTATGTTTTCTCTCTGTTTGTGAGCTATTTCTTTCTAATTTACCGATGAGCATCGAACCGGTTTTGGTAATTTGTATAAAATTGTATTGTATGTATGCGTGTGAGTGTGCATTTAGCTATAGTTTTCATGTTTTTTTGTTGAATTTATAGTGTTATTCATGGTTATCTTAAATGTCATCACGTTTTAAGATGCGACGAGCCGCCTTGATCAATGGTGTTAATGTACGAAGTTCACTACAATCATCGAGGAATGGATGTTTTAGCAGTTCTTCGGCGGTTGCTCGTTTATCAACTTCCACTTGCAGGCATTGATCCAAAAAGTCTTGTAGTTTTGGTGATAATTTTGACCAGCTATTTATCTCCGGTCGACCATTGGCCGTAATCAAATATAGTGCACGCAACGGTGTTTGATTCAAATATGGTGGCTGGCCTTCGATCATTTCTATTGCCTGAAATTGACAATTAATAAATGTTAATTTATATATTATCAACTTGAAGTAAAGCAAAACTTGCCATTATGCCAATTGACCAGATGTCCACTTTTTTGCCATACTTTTTACGTGTCACCACTTCTGGAGCCATCCAATCTAATTGATCGATAAAAAAGTAAAAGGTGATTAATCGTTCCGACACATGTTTTGGAAATATATATATACTTACATGGTGTTCCAACCATTGTTTGTCGTTTTTCGTCACCTTCAATGTTGGCACAGAATCCAAAGTCAGTCACTTTAACCGAACCATCTATACCAAGCAGCACATTGTCCGATTTGATGTCACGATGAATAATACCACGTCCGTGTAGAAAGCAAATGGCATTCAATACTTCTCGGCATACAGCTGCAATTTGTCGTTCTTTCATAATTGTTTCGGTAACAACATCGGTCAATGGTCCGCCGTCCATGTATTCCAAGACCACCCATAAATGATTTTCACCTTCAAGGAAGTACGCGTCAAGGAAGTTCACTAAATTCCTATGATTGAAATCTTTCAATACCCGAATTTCATTCAAAATTAACTCTTTCGATGATTGATTTTTCAGGTCGATCGTTTTGATTGCGACCTTTTGTTCGGTTTTTAAATCCAATGCAATGAACACAACACCCGATGCACCTTTGCCAACTTCCAATTTCGTTTCATACCGTAATGTTGGATCTTCTAAATTGCAAATTTTTCGTAATTCATCGTACACCTCTTCGTCGGATTTCGGTTGACGCACCACATCTTTTCGCCGTAATATTAATTGATCATCTTCATTTGGCGAAAAATTTTCCGGTTCAATATTATCGGATATTGCTAAAATATCATCAATACATTTTAATTCTTGTTCGATATCCAACACCGATGTTTTTTCATAATTATTATTTGAATTTGAATCTTGTACATTGATTATGGTTGTTTGTGGTCGTTCCACATCAAATCCACTTTCGGTTTTATTGTGATGTTCATCTTTTGCCGGTAGTATAATGGTTGACTCATGTTTTTGATGTTTTTGTTGCTGGGCAAGTAATTGTTTGGATTTTTGTAATTCGGAAATGACACGCAAATCGTGCATGGCTTGATTTAGTTTGTTATTCATTTGAATGTGTTTCGGTTTTGGCATAATTTTTGGCTTTGGCGGTAGTCCGGCGGTGGATTTTTTGGCTGGCAATGGTGGCGGTGCCGGTTCCGATGATGATGAATTCGATTCCTTCTCTGATTCACTGCTTTCGAATGAATCATGACTCGTATGCACTTTGCCAATTTTTACATAATTATCTAAATCTTTCGATTCATCTTCAATGTCCGCTTCGGTGACGAATGGCTTGAAAATTGCTTCATCACGTTTTTTCATCGATATCGAAAAATTGTAGAATTTTAACGCTTGATAGGCTGCATCTGGATTCTTTTGTTGTTCATCTTGTGTGATTTGTGAATTCATAATGCGAACCCAGGCCTTTGGCAAACCTAATCGTATTCAGAAAGAAGAAGAAGAAAAGAAAGAGTTGATAAAAACGGTTTGCAATGCCGGTTGTTGTCACTTTAAATTATATAAATTACCTTCGAGTTCGCCATGTGCATTCTTTCCAACATGTATGTCATGCACAACATTTGTCGGTGTTCCAATTTCGGCAATGTGTCGATTATTGTGCGAACCCGATTTTTTGCTGCCAAACAGTCCCTTCAGACCTTGAAATGACGTCATTGTGCTGATCTTGTGCAATATCTAATAACTTCAATCTACACTATATTTATTTCTCTCTTTTTTTGTATGCCACTCTTTCGATATCGCAGCAGATTGTGAAAATGTAGCAACAATGCGCGCACCAGCCACTTAAACTTTCACTTGAATTGTGTATTCATAAGTTTTTCGGTTTCGGTCGGTTGGTTTTTTTGTCGATTCAGGTTTTAATTTGTGGATTTATTTTATTTTTTAAATAAATATTTTTCTTCAATTTGATAATTGTTTTATGTTTTTCGATTTTTCGCTGCTGATTAAACAGCATAAACATTCAACACTGCACCGAAAACGAAACGAAACTAAACACACACACATGAAATTTATGAGAGAGAGAAAAAAAACAGCACAATAACATTCAAATCAACGAATTAAATTAAAATCACTAATGTATGATAAGTATAATGTTATGATGAGTCGTACTGATATAAACCAGCCAGCCAGTTAGCAGAGAAAACCGAAGAAGAAGAAGAAGAGAATAAAATAAAATCAAAAAAAAATCCCAATTCCGTAATGCAAATCGTTGTCGATCTTCGCACTTATTTCTCTTTCTGCTTTGACTGTTGTTGATATGCGATTGTATATGTGTGTATGTGTCAATGTCTCTGTCTCTGTCTCTCTCACTTTCTGTCACTGTCTATCTTGGTAGCTTGACGCTTTTTCACGTTCTTTTTCTTGTTCGAATGGTATGTATGCTTCTACGCGTTTCAGGTTAAATTGTATAATTGATTCGTTGCCGCAACTACAGCTACTGATGCTTCTCGATGCATATAAACACACGCGAAACACAGCTGAACTTCGTTTTTAACATCATTACTCGAAATTCATTATCTAGTTCAAATGAAAGAAAGAATAATTAATGAAAAGAAACAAGACGGAATTAAAATCAAGCGTCAAATGAATTGCACAAGCATTAATAAAAAAAACAACACAAAACAAAACAGACAACGATGACGACAAAAACTGGACGCGCAAAATAAAATAATCATAAAACTGACGAGTATTTTATGTGTGAGTCGACATCGAAAAGGAAGAAATTCTTAAATGAATGAATGAATCGAATGTCTATGTAATTGAAGTGCTTCAGTTTCTTGTCTTGAATAGTCCATTGAACGTGACACACAACGACTCTCGCACATAATGCTCAACGAACGCGAGAATGAAACGAACGTTTATGCAAATATTCACTTTGGCTTAGTGCCACTCGAAATACGGTCGACATAGAATTAAAAATGCCAAATTTATTCGCAACACGCACTTCAAGTTCCAATGTAACGAAAAATTATGATTCAAAACTCACAACAAATCAACTTATCCAACGACGACAAACATCGAACAAACGAAAAAAAAATAAAAACAACAACATGAAGGGAAAAAAAATCAGAGCAGCGACTGTGGAAAAACATACCGAAATAAATCATCCAACAAAGGAGTGGCACCTACAACAGCACAATATTCATCTTGATAGAAATTTAATGTACACAAAAATATGTCATCGCAACTCGAGATCGTCTATCAAACACGAACCAAATAATAACCAAACGACCAACAAAAAATTACACTTTTTAATTAAATAATAATATCAAAAATGCACGAAGTTATGATGAATATGAAATGGCTCTGTTGCCCTCAACAAACGAAACTGAACATAAGACATGAACATATTGACTGAACAACACAGAACAATGTATATAGTGTGTTTGACTCACACATCAAGGCATCAAGACAAACGATACACAATCGCTGCTGCCAATTGATAAATTCAACTCACAGACAAGAGAAAAAAAACACAAACCTATATCTATCGTTGCTCTGTCTCCACAACGCTTCATTTCAACGGCCAATCGTGCTAGTTGTTTTTTTCTTGTTTTATTTTTATTTGTGCGTTTGTGTATGTGTCTGCCTTGATCGTGCATGGAAATTCAACTTTGAATGGAATTTTGGTGTTTGCATGTGTGCGTCGGTAACATACTGGCATTTTATTCGATTTTTGAGCAACACTATATGCGACGATAATAACTACTGTGACACGGCAATTCTTGTAAATGAATGAGTCACTCGAGACAACCAATACACACATACATGCGTTCGATAGCATATACTCACACATGCGTAACGCTTGATTTGTTTATACACACAAACACACATGTGCATGTATGCATAATGCATCAAGTACCAACTGTTTAAAATACCATCGCATTGAAATTGTCAATTGAACTCGATCGCATATCAATCATATATTGAAAAATATCAAATAGAATTGATAGTGGCGACCAAAGGAATGTGCGACTCAAAAGTTCATTCTTCAAACAGAAAAAAATTTGATCGAAAATCACGTATCAATTTTTAATATTGGAAGTATAAATTAAAACGTAAGGATTCGTATCTAACTTCATATCTATCACACATGCAATTGTTTGGACAGTGAAAGCTGTTGTATCTTAAAGAGCGTCAAAAAATTTACTAAATTCGATCTGTCAAAGTGAAAACAATTCTGCACACACAAGTTTTTTATTGCGATTAAAATGTCGAATTACGTTCCAACAAAACAGCATTTGCGGGAAGAAATGCTTTTGTACTTTAATCAAAAGAAAAGTGCTGCTGAATGTCATCGTTTGTTGTCGGAAACGTATCCCAAATATTCAATTTCAATAAGTGTATGTGAAAAATGGTTTAGAAGATTCAGAAGTGGTGATTTTGACACGGAAGACAAAGAGCGTCCAGGCCAGCCGAAAAAATTTGAGGATGAAGAATTGGAATTGTTACTCAATGAAGATCCATGCCAAACGCAAGGAGAACTCGCTAAATCATTGGGAGTAACTCAAGCAACCATTTCACAACGTTTAAAAGCATTAGGGTTCATCCAAAAATTTGGAAACTGGTTGCCGCACGAATTGAAACCGAGAGATGTTGAAAGGCGTTTTACCATCTGTGAAATGCTGCTCGCAAGACAAAAAAGCGAGTCATTTTTGGATCGAATTGTTACGGGCGATGAAAAGTGGATCCACTACGATAACCCAAAGCGAAAAAAATCATACGTTCGACGCGGCGAACCAGGACCATCGCAAGCAAAGGAAGATATTCATGGTTTCAAGGTAATGCTCTGTGTTTGGTGGGATCAAAAGGGTATCGTGTATTATGAGCTGCTGGAACCGGGTGAAACAGTCACAGAAGATCGCTATCGACTACAACTGATGCGATTGGAGCGAGCATTGGACAAAGATCGAAAAGAATGGAGGGAAAAACACAACCGGTTAATTCTTCTTCATGGCAATGCTCGGCCACATGTTGCGAATGTCGTCAAACAATACTTCGAAACAACTAAGTGGGAAGTCTTACCCCACCCGCCGTATTCACCAGACATTGCTCCTTCTGATTACTACTTGTTTCGAGCGATGCAAAACGAATTGGCAGGCAAACGCTTCACTTCTTCGGAGGAAATCGCAAATTGGGTCGGTTCGTGGTTTCGTTCAAAACAACAACCATTTTTTTGGCACGGAATCCATGAATTGCCTGGAAAATGGGAAAAAGTAGTGGCTAGCGAAGGACAATACTTTGAATAAAAAAATGTGTACCATTCTCTTGAAATAAATGCCTAATTTCAGTGAAAAATCCTTACGTTTTAATTTATACTTCCAATACAATTAATTTTTATTACTATGCTTCGTTGCCATGAAATTCTGAGACTCGAATTTGAATTCCATCTACCTTGTTCCACTTTTTGTTTGTAAAAAATAAATGATATTTTGAAAATTTCATGATTTTTTACTGGACTCCCAATTTCAAATGGGACACGGTCGATATTTTTACAATTTTATCGAAAAAAATTTCATATATTTTCAACGACATAACCTTCTCTTCAAATGAATGCGCAATGCTGCCAACCATTGACAAATCATTTCAAATGTATTTGCGTTTGACTGTTCATATGAAATGTCAAGTCATTGTAAAACCGGCGAAGACGAATAATACGCAAACATTTCAAATAAAAACAATCGAGAGAAGAAAAAACGACTGTAAAAATGCAGGTAAGAGATTTTTTTGCCCCTTAAAGAGAATTTTTCATAAAAACTTTATCAATTTTCAGAAAACATTTGTGTTTGATGAGAAAATCAACTTGAATGGATATTCAGTTGTGTTTCCAAGTGTATGTGTGGGAAATGTGGCTCAATTGGCTGTTGATTTTCTGATATCCACATTAGAAATGAAAAAGGTTGCCACCGTATGGCATGTGAGTACAATTGGATTCATTCATCTTGTCCGATTTCTAAAGTCGTTCCTATTATTTTCAGACGGCGATAATTCCAATACTAGGTCCACGTGCGTTTGACCACAAAACGGTATCGGATGCCTCATCACCGTCTGCAAACATAACAACTGCCTGTGAACTATTTGTTAGTGAAGCAAAACGCTTGGCATGCTTTCAACTACGATCGCCGCTCGTGGCAGGCAAATGTCTAACGGCGTTTTTTGGCGAATTGATTGAGCTCCTGAAAGATCAACAGGTGCAACAAATCGTCATTTTAACTGGAATGTTTTCACACGAGCAACATGCAATTGGAACGACGAAATTCATGTATTTGGCTAATAATCAATGTCAAAAAGAATGCAAGGCGCAGCTTGAAAATGGCAGTTGGATCAAATGGGATGAAAATAACAAAATTATTCACGGCGGCGGATTTGCATTGAAATTGTACAAACAAATCGGCGAATCGGTGTCCAGTTGTATATTCTTCAAGTACACAGCAGAAGGTGATAATAGAAATGATGCAGCTGAAATGGTTTATCATTTGAATTCACTTCTCGGTGGAATTTTGGCACAAAGTTCGGACCAAGGTGGCTTTAAATTGGTGTCGCCATGTTCGTGGAATGCCATGTTCGGCAATGACCCAACCGAACAATTATATTAAGTGAATTTGGTTAATATTTCTGTTTTTTTTTACAGCTTTTTCGATTAATAAAATTATGGTGGAACCAATTTTCAGATTATTATTTTTTTCAGATTTTTGTTCTATTAATTTAAATTTTAATTTTTTCTATTTTCTAAAAATGCAAAAAAAAAATCAAACGTCAAAATTCTGTCTGCAAAAAAGTCAAAGGACATATTTTTAGGACTGGCACCAACACATACAAATTAAATAAACAATATTGAAACTTAATCGCATAACAATATACAGGCACATTTTGACATTAAACTGTAGACTGAAACACATTGAGCGAAGGACAACAAAACTGAACGTATTGTTAAGCACTGATTGTGAAAGAGTTCTCAATTTTCATCGTGTTAAAATTTTCAATTCGGAATGGATAATTTGATACAAGAAATGAACGAAGAATCATTTAAGCAAATTGGAAAACTTGTTGAGGCCAAGTTAAATAAAACACCACTGAATGAACGATGTGATCGTGTGAATAAAATATTGGATGCATTGTATTCGCCAATCACACAAAAAATCGAAAAGGTTGATCGGCTCGTTGATTTTCTACGCGATACATATGATGGATTGGACATGCAAACCAGCAACCATTTGACGTTTCAAATCCACGACATTTGTAGAGATGTACGCAAAAAGTTTGACAATCTAAACAATACGAACGGTCAACACAGCCCAAATATTCTGAACATTTCACACAGTGTTGACAGCAATGCGGTGAAGCCAGACGTCCACAGTGCCAAAAATGACGAGCACTTGGAAAACAAAAATGACATGGTATCATTTGCTATCGAACCGCAGCGGCTGAACGATAATAGAAAACTCGGAAAAATGGTTCGCGTTTTGGTTGGTTTACATTGCGGCTCAACAGCAATAATTGATTCGATTGAAAAAAATCGCATGTTCACTCTCAAATTTGACGATGGAAAAACCGGCAAATACAGAATTAATCAAATTGAGTTCATGGAATAATACAAACCTCTTTTGCAACATAATTATTGTAAGGCATTGAATGATCTTTTTTAAAACTAATTAATTGACAAGTACTTGCCAGTATTTTATTTTAAGATAAAATTATCAGAAGCATATATGAAGAATAATAAAGAAAATGAAATTCTTTATAAAGAAGAATAATAAAGAAAATGTATGGATTTCTTTTACATAGACTATAAGAAAAACTGAAAATACCAAGTCAGAGACCAACATTGAATTAATTTTGAATAAAGCATAGATGTGAAACAAAATCGATGTCGGAGTTAGTTTCTTTCGATTTACATGATTTTTGATTTCAGTTTTGGTATAGAACCATTATCTTGCATGGATTAAAGATGGGCAAATATTCACATTCATTGTGATCGAAATTTGTTGAAAAAGTATACAAACCAAATAAACAAGAATGCGCCTAAGAAGAAAGTAAATAAAAACATAAGTAATGAAAACAAAAACAAAAGAAAAGGTTCAATGAATTTTTGCGCCGATTTGCCAATCCAACTGGTTTAAACAAAACAAAAACAAATTTTCGTATAGTCTTCTTCACAATTGGTTTTATTCTTTCAAAACAGAATTAACAGTTACATTATTTCAATGTAATCAATTCGTATCTGGGAATTGTTTTATGTTGTTGTTGTTGTTTTTAATAAAAACTGCCAAACTTAATGTTGATGTTAAGATTAAGTGCTGTTAAACTGGTTTATTGATAGCCCAATGATCGGATGACGGCGGTGTGTGGAGCAGCAACTTTTTCGATGTTTTTGCGTGCTAGTTTCGTCAATTTATTGTTGACTTTCATTTGTTTAAGATGAAGTGCCAACTTAGCCTTACGTTTACGTTCCAAGTTCTTGACAACATCTTGGTATTGCCAACCGACTTCATGTGACAAACGGCCAATTTTGCAGTATTTGCGATCTGATCGCAAGCACAACACTCTAAGGGCAGTTGGAACACAGACACGACGTTTCTTCTCGTATGCTGGTGGAATACCGTCAAACACACGCAAACGCTTCAATGCGGCTTGACCGCGGAGAGTCTTGTGTGGGATCATTCCTAAAACGATGCACAAAATGAAAAGAAAAACACAACATTTATTAGAACAACGATATAACGGCAAAAAAACATAGTATTGAAATGAGGTTAGAATCTATCAGATGCATTAAGTTGTCATATCACATACAAATCATATAATGTAGGTAAGAAAGTGTAATCATCACCAAAAAGAAAACTTCACTGGTAAATGCACAAAACAATTAAATCTATTTCGAATGTATACCTCGGACAGCCTTGAAGAAGATACGGCATGGAGCTCTGAAGTGGAATGGTCCGCGAGCTGGGTTAACGTTGCATCGCTTGCGCAAGTAGTTCAAATACTTGATTTTATTTCTGAAATTGAAGAAGAAGAAAAATAAATGGATTAGCATGATGCAATTCAAGTACTGATATGGTGAAATTCCATGCACAACGACAAACGTCATGCAAAACATAAAACTGCGTTGAAAAAAAACGGTGCAAAAATCGTACATACCTATAGAAGTGACCGGAAAGAGTCAATTCTTCGCATCGTACAACGACGACTTTGCCACCTTGCAAAAGGTTTTTGGCAACTACTGAAGCAAGACGTCCGACCAAGTGGCCACGACCGTCAATGATTACTGCCTGCAAAATTCATACAAAATTTCATTTTAGAATATGTTGAGGTTATGTTTGCATTGCACAAAAAACGCGATTTTTTCTCCAACATCATAATTCAATGTGAAGAAAATAAAAGTTCAACTTATTCGGGTTTAAAATTAAAAACAAAATTTTATCCAAATTCAATTCTTATTTGATAGGCAAATGATTTCAGTCAAACCGCATATCAATGAAATCGTATTCGTTCAGCACACTATATACACGTGCAAGGCATTGTCTAATGGTATTTTAGCACCGAACATTTTTCAAAAAATTCGATAAATTTTTTTGGATTTTTTTATTTTCTTCACTTGATTGATGATTATTGTACACTTAATGAGCGTTTTTAATCAATTTTTCACAATTTTTCGGTATTTTTTCGATTTATTTCACGACTCACCTTATTGTTTAAACCTGGCATGTTTACGCAGCAAATACAAAAAGAATGGTTGAAAGGCGAAAAAGACTTATGAAGCCGGAAATATAGCCGATTCAATATGGCGAACCATGATATTTGCGACCTGTCAACAATGGATGCGTTTGAAGCAACCACATTGCCAAGTGTACAGCTGACCATTTGAAAATGTGCCGCGAAATAGGCGAATTTGGTATAAATATTTAATTATTTTTAGAGATTTTTGCATAGAAATTTAAGTTTTTGCATTTTAACATTTTTTCTACAAATAAGACGAACTATTGATACAGAAATTATTTAAAATTCAATTATTTCAATTCAAATTCATTCAAACTAGAATACTTCAAACTACTAACACCAGAGGGATCATGTTATCGTTTGTATATGTCATCTATGTTTGTTGAATTGAAAATACGGACAGGTTTGAAAAAAAAACCGAAAATGATTGAACATTTTTATTATTTCATTTCATGAATTGGAATTTTTGGAGCTTCGACTATTCGATACAATATTACTTTTTTCAACCATAAAAATTATACCATTTTTACGGATTTATAGCTTGTCCTTACAACTAATATCAATGTTTAACAGTTTCATGCGTATTTTGAAAATTAATTTTTCCAAACAATGTGGAAAGAACACACAATTATATCATGTTTCATTTATAATATATGTTAAATTAAAAAAAAACCTGAAATGCAAGGCGGCATTTGCCTACAGCATGAAAACCAAACTCAACCCGATTCAGTTTGCCAAATGTGAGCAGGGTATGTCGAGGTCGATTATATCTAAATTTGAGCGAAAAAGAAATGTCCACAACATTTTCCAAAGGAAATGTTTCAATTTCACGGACACTGATTCCCAAAAAGAGAAAGAAACTTCAAAGTTTTGCCAAGAAATCACCTATAGTTTGCATAAATTTCATGTAAAGTTCAACATTCAGCTTTCCGATTTCAGATTTAGTATGAGAAATGTGATAATTTCGTTCTCCAATGAAATATCGAATATAAGATTCTAAATTCTATAAAAATGTGTTAAATGTTTGCAATTTGGATGTCAACAGAAATTGTAATTGAATTCAAATCAGACTACATAATACTAACGCCAGGGGGCCAATAACAGTATACTGTCATAACAACTGTCATGTGTTTTGTCAATCGAACAATTAGAACAAAAATAGAAATAAAAAACAGAACGAAAAATTTGTGCAGTGACAGTGCAGACAAAAAATTTGCAAAGGCAAAAGAATGACGATGACCAAAAAACTAAAAAATATTTAAAAGATCTCATTTAAAACATGTCGTATAACTATCCGACAATAGCAAACAATGCATTGCCAGCAATGCGTAAGTGAAAATCATCTTGTTAAATTCATTTTGAGGAGCGAAAAAAAGTCACTATCTCAAATGCCAAAGGAAATGATAATTAAGTATAATTGGCTTTGTACGCTCAATGATTTATTGATTAAACAAAATGTACCTCATTTAACACGACGTTTATCATATTGTGTGTATTCTTATTTTTGTTTCAGTGCCGTTGCTAACCAATTTGGCAAATGGAAATCATTTTCTTCCAACTTTGGCGGCAGCCAATCAAGCTGTTACAGCTGGTTTATTTTCCGCGCACAATGCAGCAGCTGCGGCAACAACAGCACTAGCCGAAAATGCCTTGGAATTCAATCGAACAACAACGAAACTTTGTCAAATCGGTTCTGGCCCAATGGATTTGGAAACATTGAACGATGAACGTGATACACAGTCGTTCATTCAAAGTCCGTCTGGCAGTGAATTGAGTTTGGCATCAACACAAAGTGTTCGTAAAATCGATGAGAATTGCGAAAAGAATTATTCAACATTTAATCCATGTGATATAATGTACAATATGGGAATTCCATCACAAAATCTTATGATGATGCCTGGTGTTATGAATATGGTGCGTGATGCATCATCTATAGTACAAACACTCCCACAATTTTCCCTTCTCAATCAATTACAATCCGTACAAACATCAACCGTATCAACGGCTAATTTAAGCGATACAAATACCACATCGGCAATCTCAACAACATTGTCATCCACCAATTCGTCTGGCATTGTTAAAGAAACGATAACATGTAAATCGTGTGTGCTACTGCCACCGAATCCAAATGCACCGCCGCCATCGACACGCGAACGTCCGAGCGGCTGTCGAACGGTATTCGTTGGTGGCTTGCCGGAGAACATCAGCGAAGAGATAATTAAAGATGTGTTTGAACGATGCGGTGAAATAACCACATTACGTTTATCGAAAAAGAATTTCTGTCACATTCGATTCGTGTTTGAAGCATCGGTTGACTCGGCTATTTACTTAAGCGGTTATCGTATTCGCATCAATAATCTAACAGACTCACCGAATTGTGGACGTTTACATGTGGACTTTGCACAAGCCAGAGACGATCAATACGAATTTGAGTGCAAACAACGACAATGGCAACGTGAGCAAAGACATCGCGAACGTCTTGAACGTGATCGTTCAAAGTTATCGCCACCGATTGTTTACTTTAGCGAACATGAAGCCGCCGCGATTGCTGAAAAACTCAAACAAGATGACACATTTTCGAAAGCAGTGCAAATATTTATAACATGGCTTGAACGGGGCGATTGCAATAAGAAAAATTCAAATACATTTTATTCGATGATTCAGAGTACAAATGCTCATATTCGTCGATTATTGAGCGAAAAATCAGTGTACGAAGATGAATTGAACAAAGCCAAAGAAATTCATCGCAAGCAAATGCAAAATTTGTCAACACAACGTAAGTATTACAATTCATCTAAATTTATTTGAGTTTATTCTCTCTTTTTTTTTCGTTGCGATGTTATTTGAATGAATCAGTGTAGCGTGTGTATGCGTGGTTGTTTTTAACTGTAAATTAAAATGTTAGAATCGTTTCGATAATTGAGTACAAGCTCAACATACACATTACACAGAATATAAGCAAACATGAGCTCCTTTATGTAGTTATCAGGTGAGGATTTTTTTTTTTTGAATGAAACAACAACTACAAATCAAACACATTTTATTGATGAGTATATTGACCTCTGCAATGAGGTCACGCTCATTGGACGAGGAACAAATGAAAGGAGCTAATGCATGCTAATAATAAATCAATTCGATCATTTAGTTTATGCACCTAATTAAAAAACACAAACACACACACACGTATACAAAATTGAAAAAGAAAATAAAACTTTTTCTACAAAACAGACCCTTCCCCTTTTTTTTCAACCACTCACATTTCCTTGGAAAGTTCTTTGGTTTATTGTCTTCGTTTGAACACCACAATACTCTTTTTTCTATATATCTCTTTCTCACACATATAAACACACACAAACACAAAATTACATTTTCACGTACATTGAATTAAAAAAAAGACTCAAAAATCGCACACGATCCAAAATCGTCTCTTTACATCTGGATTGAACATGTATTTGCAATAGTTTGAAAAGGTAACGCATAATTTCCTAAAAATAAATGGCGCAATGGGGATACACCGCTCTTTTTTTCTCAGTTATTTCATATTTTTCTTAAGTTTAGATCTCAGTTAGTTTTCACATCACGTACAAATCACATTGCGATTCAGTTTAATATGTATTTTTGTGTAATCATAAAAACACCAAGTTGTAGATGTGTTTCAGTCATTGGTTTCTTTTTGTAATAAATTTTTGGAGGTGCTGGCTTATTAGTGGGCAATAAATTAAAGGGGTCGGTAAATATTTGCAGTCACGAATTGTTCATGACTTGTAATGTGAATTTGACATGTAGTCAAACGGTGTGGTAAAATGCTGCAGTGTACATTTGATGGATACGACTGATGCAATCAAAACTATTGATTTGGCGTAAATGTTCTTTGTGTCGTAAGTTTTTATGATGATTGTTGTTGAAATGCATTTGCAAAAGGCTGTTTGCCCAGTCGTGCCCATCAATACACGTGCAATATCGCTTTGTGTTCATCACTTGCCTTTTTGTCAAACGTATCAATGCTTTGCGGTTTTTCTGAACATTTGCTTTCGTTGTTGACCTGCCAAAGCTGAATTTCTTGAAATATTTCACACATCGTATTAATGCTTTTGAATGATGCTAATTTGATTTTTTTTTTACATCTGGGATATGAAAGACATCAAACTTTCTACGATGGACAGCGACATCGCTTCCAGTCGTGAAAAGTGCGACTTTTTCATTCAAACGATTTTGATTTAACAATTTTATGTCTGTTAAGCCAAAGAATTTTTGTTGTTTTTTTTAAATGTTTTTATTTTTATTTTTTGTTTTACAAAAAGACATGTAATTTATCGAAATATTTAATACATTTTATGAATTGTAAACAACCAAAAAAAAAACCTAAAAAAACGAATGAATAAACAAATACATATATGCATTATGGGTCTAGTCTCTCAAATCGAAAGAGTTACAACACAAACACAACCATAAATCAAATATTGATATTTTGGTCAATTAAATAGAATTAACATTAGAAAGAGTGTTTGGGGCCGCTAGTCACAAGAAGGTCTGGGATCATTTTACGAAAGCTCAGCGAAAGAATATCGATGTGTGGAAGAAACAATCACTGGTATGTACACAAAACACCAACAACTATCTTCATTTTTATTTGCTCACTCTTTTTCGATTTCATTTTCATCATCATTTTTCGTTTGTCATTTTTTTTTTTTTTTCAAATCTCAAACATTCATCACTTTCATTCACCAACAACAATTAGCGATAAATAAATAGTGCTTGAAATATACTTTGATCGTAGTTGAATTTAAATATTTTTTTGTGTGTTTGTGCATTCATTTCATAGTCAAAAACAATGATATTAAACGTAGACTTTGAAACAAAAAAAAAAAAAATCAGTACAAAATTCGGGCTGCTTTTTTGCCATGCACGTAGTCCTATTTGAATAGTTAAAAAAAATTGCTTTCATTTATTGTATTCTATTACCTCAGTCTATTTCCGAAAAAAAAAAAACATATAAATAGCGATTTGTTTTTCATACTTTTTTAAATCCAAATTAACAAAAAAAAAATTTAAATTTCAAGGTAAGTTTTGAATTAGTATCCTGTTGATACAGCTCCAAACAGCAGCTTTGATTCATTTTTTTTTGCTCGTGCAAATTAGACAATTATTGAAATATTGAATGTATTCTTCTTTAAATTTAAGGAAATTTTTGCGATTTTTTTATCGCATATTTTGAAATTAAGCACAAACAAAAAAGTAATTTGATCCAAATATTCGTTGATCGAACACAAATATTCAACTTTTCAAAATGAAAAATTTCCGTTTTAGCCCAAATTAAAAATTCTCTTGCCAAAAATGCAAAATTCATTCCGATTCGAAAGCAATTTGATTAATTTGGTGCTTTATTTTCTTGTTCGTGATCATAAAACAGGAAATACAAGTGCCCCTGGAATCACTTGAAAGCCATGACACGGATGAAATGGACATGTCTGACGAAGACGATGCAGCTAGCTTACGCTACGGTAAACGACCAAAAAACAGTTCCAAGGTACGGTAAACACAAAAAAAGTAACAAAAAATCAAATGTGCAAAATAAAAACGGATAGGAATTCTAATCGAAATGTTCGATTTCAGGAAAATGAAAGTAAAAAGTCTGATACAATGGCCTATGCACATAGCTCGAAAGCCTTAGATGTAAGAGAACAGCAGCTAAAAGTGTTGCACGAGACAATACGTAATCTTCAAACGCAATTGCTTGAAAATAAAACCAAAGAAAAAGAGAATCTCACAAAAATCAGCGAATTGGAAGATAAATTGAAGCAAGCAAATGTTAAGGAATTGCTGTTAAAAACTCGAATTGTAGAAGCATCAAAGGGTCCAGTTACCTCAATCTCAACCGATCATGCTTCCAAATCGAGTGTTAGTGATAAAGACGTAGTCTATGTTGATGATGGTGATTGTGATGTGCCGGAAAAACCATCAAAACTCATTGATTCTAAATATACCATTGGTGTGAAACCATCGGAATCGGTTGAAAATGAAAATATAAACGACGACGACAATCATCAAATGATTGACGTGGATGCGGCGCGTTTAATTGGATTGATTTCGTCATTTCTTGTTGTACATCCGTTCGGTGCTAGTCTGGAAAATATTATAACGTATGTTCAACAAGTTTCGATGCCGATACACGACAAAGATGTTGAAAACATTTTGCGTCGCTATAAGAGCGTATTCATCGAAATGGATAGTCAGCCAAATGCTGATGAGCCGCCAATAGCTGTCGAACGAAAATGGAAATTTTGTGGATTTGATCTGACAAATTCGTCGACAATTGTAATACATGATTAGATAACAATTCATAATAGTCAATTTGTGCTTTTTGATCCACCTTAGTTTTCACATCAATTTTTTCAACAAAACTAATGGAATTAATTTTTTCAAACAAACAAACAAACTATCGACACCAAATCAATTTTACACAATTTCAAAAAATTTATTATATTTATATATTTATTTAGGAATATTGTTAAATCTCGTTTTGTTCATCGTTCCCACATTCACCACAGCTAAAACTTGTCACACATTAAGCATTTTTGTGATCGCATATATGATCAGAATTTTTTTTTTCGTCTAGTTCCTTTTTTGGCAAATAAATAAAAAACTTTAATTGAAATATTAACGGAAATCGATGTAATTTATCATTCGACCCTCATTTAGAAAGAAACCATAACATATGATATTCGAAATTAGATCAGAATGACGGTAATCCATCATATTTCTCTCACCTAATTGGATCACGTGCGGTGCATTTCTGGTAGGTTCTTGTCTTACATCGAATAGTACATGTTCCCTAGTGATTTCCGCAATCAAATCTAGTTAACATTCCGATGATCTGGTATGACATAACGTTATAAAAGGTAATTTTTTTTAAAAACAGGCGCAAGTGTGACTTGTGTCATAGACTCACAGAGCGTCATAAATTTATTAGAATAAAATGAACGACACACGATCGGTATGTACGATATTTCGAAAGTATACTTCACAACCGGATATGTATGTTTTCATCTACGAAGAAAAAAACCGTTGATTTCTCTCCAAAAAATCGACATGAAACATGGAACAAAAAAAACATCATCAAATGGTTGTGCGCAAGCGATTTTCAACGTCTCTTTCTCTCCCCAACGCCTCTTTCTCCCGATTTGAAATGCATTACGAATGGTGTTTGTTTTGGTTTGGTGTGTTTTAAAGGAATACCGGCAAATTCCAAAATATTTTCGCTTCCTTTGCGGTGCGATATCAAACTTTTTTTTGGTGGTTTGTTATTTTAGTGCTGGATTGTTTTTTTTTCATCTCCATCAATATAAAGTTGTTGGCACAAGCCATATCGTTTTTCTTCAAGCCAAATAAAAATCATTGCTCGTATGCACTGACACTTTTGTCACGTATGTGCGCCGTATGGGTGTATAAATTGAATGGCCAAATGGTGATCTTATATAATATATTACACGATGATGGAATTGGAAAGATGTGCAAGTCACATTTCGAAAAACAGATGGGCAAATTCCGTTCCAACGGAAATTCAATGCAGAAAAGACAACAACAAAACCAATGACGAAAATCAAAATACGGTGAAACGCGAAACGGTAGAAAAACAACAACACTACAGCATGTTCCTTTTAAGTGTAATTTACATGTTATGCTCGATTTCCATCGTGTAAGCATGTTGTTGTTTTTTTCAAATTCGTCCTTTATTTCTCATTAAATGCATGCTATTTCAATCATTTGTGTTTATTATCATTTTTGTAGATGATTTATTGAAATAGTTCTCATCTCAAGTGATTTAAAATCGTTCGATTTTTGTTCGTTTTTCTTCAAGATTTAGATAAAGAACTACCGGAATAAACACTCAATCGGCGTTATTTAGCTTTTCAATTGAACTATGATTTCCGCGGAAGAAAGGCGGTTCCTCTGAACTCAATTGATACACTTGAGATGTAAAAAAGAGATATGGTAATTCATTCATTACGTCTCATAAATCTCGTTGCACTTTCGATGCAAGCACCAAAATACAAATTAATCCATCGAACGATGACTTTTTTTCAAAATGATGGTAGATCTTTCAATCGGCATTGTCGTAAATTACCGCCGATCAGTTTGCAATGTGAAATATGCAATGAAAATGGTGACTTTTTTTTAGTTTCGTTGTAGAACTCCACCGCATGAAAAATCTTTTTATTTGCAAAAATTATATTGCACACAGCCTCCGTTGAATGGGTGTACATGTGTAGCAACGCGCACGCTTCACTCTCAATTTTCTTCATGTTGATTCAACTGAATTTATGTAGCTCACCGATTGCTGCAACAACCACATCCCGCACATCTGTTTACGTAAAATACACGAAACAAATTACAATTGCCTGGTGTTGTTTTTAATGCACTATTTTTATGAACTCACCATGGAAATTATGATTATATGAGCGTACGTTATTCGCTGTTGTACTTGCACATGCGTACGCATTTTGTATTTGAAATACAAATAAAAATCAACCTTTTGAGCAAAGAGAAGAAGAAATACAATTACATTTTTCGAAACCAAAAGAAAACGTAACGACTGTTCAAATGAAATGCACACACAGTTGAAAGAAAAGTATTCAATTGCGCAAACAGAATCTCAATCGAAATCAACATGCAGTATAGCTCTCATTGCACGCACATTGTATGTGTTTCACATAAATTTCGAGCTCGTAAGTCGTCTGTTTTTGGATTTGATTCAATTGCGTGGTTCGGTGCTGTGATGTATTAGCACGAGCTCTTCTCAAATCATTCATCGTATCTAATTCAAAACAACAGAAAAATCTGTGTTGATTGTTTAGATATTCAGTAATTTTGTTTGATTTGTTTTGGTTGGATTTTGTTTGACTTTTCTTAAAATATACTACGAATGAATTTGATGCAACAAATTGAACACAGCCACAGAGAATGTGGTGCAGAGATGCACCTACCGACCCATCGTCTGATAAATATGATGTTTTTACACCGAATCCGAGATCGCGTAACAAAAATGTGAACTTTCGATAGTCGGTGTTGATATTTGGCTCGACATCTGTCTCAAATGGAATTTAAACTGTTCATCAAGTTCTCGAACCAAAAACAACAAAAAAAGACGAAATGGACTTGCATTGGTTGCCGCAATGCAAGTGATGAAAGATTTAGATTGATATAATTGAACTGGTCAATTTTACAATTCGCAATTTTGTACGTAGATCATAGTAATTTCCGCGTACATCATGGTTTTTTTCTTCTCTCTAGTCATTGCTGTTGAGCACACGATCATCCACAACAATAAATTCATTCATGTTTACGTTCCGTACATAGAATAGAACTAGAAGCGCATGCTCGTTGATGATCGCGCACAAGCGAAGCAACGAAGCATAAATGAACGAAGAGCGCAACACAAGAAAAATATGCGTTGAGAGCTCAAGTCAAACAGTGTACACTGTCGACAGTAGAAGCATGTGTAAACAGTTGAGATTTGATATCCTGCGAGAGCGGTCGTGTGGCATATGTGCTGCTTAAAACGAATTTTTATGAGTGTTTATTCGTCTTGTTTTTTTTGTGTCAGAAAACTAGTAACGATATTGTTTAGATCACTGCTTTTTTTGCCCAACAAATTTGCAACGCTTGATAATTTTTCATCCTCTTTGGGCACACCGAGTGTTATAAAAATACATGTGTTTTATCCGTACATTTGCCGGGAGGTTTAGATTCACATTTTACGGACAGAAAAAAGTGTTTTTTTTAACAGTTTCAAGAGTGAATTCGGACATTTTAAAGAATTTTCTCGTTTGGCTTAACGAAAAAAAGAGAAACTATTAATAAATTAGATACGCATTTGGACGGAGAGAAGTAAAGTGCATTTTATGTCCGAGTGGAATTTTTTTTTTGATGAATGTGAGATTGATATCGCTTAAGTCGGTTAAAGTGCGCCATAAATTCCAACATTTGAACTGGATTTTGAATTAACTCATCAACGCAGCAACGCTTTTAAATTCGAACTGAAGGCTAAATCATTTTATTTCGTCTCTTAATTAGAAATCACAGTGAAACAATCGTAAAACAATTAAAAACATTTAAATCACATGAACATTAATTTGTCCATAAGAGAATGAGCTCACGACTTTAAATGTGATAAGAGCGTGAATTGATTGAAAACAAATACGAATTGTGTGCAGAGTGAATTTGAGTATTTACCTGAATCCAGGAGAATGAATTGATCACACGTGCGATCCTCAACCTAGATCGAAAATTGATAAACATTGAGCTACTGTCTCGATATCCGTAGAAGAAGTTAAATCATTGGTAAGTAACATCCGTTGTGTTTTTTGTTTTTCTTTTGACTTTCTTTCAAATCTTCTTCCTCTTCGTCGAATTTTAAATCAATCAAAAGGGATAATCAGATGCAAGCATGAGAAAAAGTGTCGACAACACTCGTCTTTATCGTAATCGAATTAACGAAATGGAAAAGTCGTAAAACATGTTCTGCCTTTGTGACAACCACAAGCAAGAAACGAGCCACAACCGAAGAGAATACATTTTCTTTTTTTTTATATTTATACATTCAATTCCACAACTTCCGATGCCATCCAAAAATCTATCTCTCGTTTGTTGTGGTGAATTTGATATGCTGGCTGGCGGTCGCATAATAATAGCATTTCAACATATTTGAAACGTGATTGTGGTTTAAAACATTTCTATGAGCCGATTATATGCTACTGTGCACGTGATCGTAAAACAAATGATAGAGAAACATTAATTCGTTTTAGTTTTTAGTGCTCAATATTCCTGCATATGGGCGATGAGACTTGTTGTGGTCTCGTTGAGTTGCATTTTACCCGCAATGAATACAGGTTACGAGTGAATTCACGCATGAATGTTGAAACTGCACTTCAAATGCAACAACGCACCACAAAATAAATCAAGCGATTTACTTAAATTTATAGTTTGATAGCAAAAAGTCAACCGACGTGTAATTGGCTACCCTATTTTACATTTTATTCGAACATTTAGCAAACACATTTGCGGTCACTCAATTTGAATAATGATCACATCTGCTTTGTCAAAACATCAAATAAAATACGGTTTTTTATATGTTTCGACTACCAATGTTCGTTTTATGTTGCCAAAAATATATATAGAGAGGATTTTTTATTCTTGATTTTTTCACTCAGATAACATTTCTTTCTCATTTGCTTCTGCCATCGTAAAAAAAAACAACAATTTTATAGAGATTAGACAGGCTAGATTTGTGTTTGAATTTGAAATTTCTTTAAATAATCAGCAGATTAAACAGCAGCATGTTGTAAATCAGTTGAAATGATGTGTGATATCATACGCTTGTCATAAAAACGTATCATAAAATCATAATCATAAATTCCGAGCTAAAAGAAACCCAAACAACAACAATAACAACGACGAAAATGTAGGAACAACCGAGAGGTAGAGAGAAAATCTCCAATTTATCTACAAAAGCCTCATGACCTGCACGACGGGTGTTCAACCAAAGAAAAAAAAAATACGTCATCCTTTGGCTAGATTCATATTTGTGTCTCAATTTTTCCAACATTTTGTTATTGCAATGCTCGTTGAAAATTCGGGGCTGTCATTTGCTAATGCTATGTGCGCATAGTGTGTATGTTTATATTTCTCTCGACGCACGAACATGATCCACCTACATCAGATTCAGATTTCTGATTTTTGTTTATATTTTTCGGTTTGTATAGACAAAAGTAACAAAAATGCTCGAAACGTGTGATAGACTGCGATGTCGAGGAAACCATCACATTTCACACAAAATTCGAACGAAAATCCATTTTTCGACAGAAACAACGAATCACCTCGGCTAAATGCAAAACAAAAAATAAATCGCAAGAGGCAAGAGGTTACCACACTGCATTATTCATTTTTCGCAATAATAATTTAGTCTTAAATGGCTGTCATAAAATTTAATTTTCATTCAAAATGGTTCGTTGTTTCTCGTAAAAAAAGCGTAACATTCATCAAATCGTTCAAAATGTGCTGAACTAATGTTTTCTTTATTCGTTCGCGTTTGAAAATGAAAATTTATGAAGACAAAAAAAGTTTTTCTTGAAAAATCAAAGTTCGCAACTGGTGAGTTTAAAAATAACTTTTGAGAGAAAAAAAAAACAACGAAAAACATTTTCAATTTTCTATTCTCGTTGAAAATCGGTTCGATTGAGTATCGAACAACATTGAAAAGCAATTTTCTTGGCAATTGGCTGCTGTTCGCCGTATTCTATTCGACGAGAGTTTTGTTTCGCATAAAGAATATATATTTGAAATTGCGAAGAGTTTATTTTCGCACTTATTTATGTTTATCATAAGTTTTCCGAGTGAATACGATCCAACTTTTACACGTACGTCAAACATTTTCTCACATTGGAAAATAGCATTTGGTTTGTGTCAGACAAACGCAACTACTTTTTTTTTGTTGTTGCTTCAGTCAAGAAAATACTAGATTTCACTGATCCCTGTGAGTTTTTTTCTCCTCCCTTTTCGTCGATCTGTTTGTACTGAAAAAATATTGTTTACACGGGATTTCACTTCTTGTGAATATTTACAGTCCTTTTTTGTGATATATTAAGCTAACATTTATTCGTGATACTATATTCACTCCCACATCGAATTATGGAATAAACCATCGATTGACAATTTATTGGTAAATATTTATGAAAAGTCTGTAGCATTTGGAAACCGCATTGATTGCAATCAATTTGAAGAAAGTAGATAAGACATCTACCAAAAAGTACCTTTCTCTACCTGGAATCAGTATGGCATTTATTGCAATGCACAATTTTACGAAGGTGTGAAACAGAAGGATCTGATAAACAATGTCAAATAAACAATACAATCGTGTTTTTATTTTATGAAGGATGGAAAAAAGCAATTCAAGTGGTCGTTATAATTTATGTCTATCATGTGTGTGTTGCGCGCAATGGATGGATTTGGATCGTTGAAAATGAAATAGTCAAACGTGTGGGTGATATGTTCCATGCTGAATTTCATTTTAAATTTTGTATCAATAAATCGATACGTGTTTCGAATTGAAATTGTGCTCAAGCTATTTGCGATTTGATTTTAAAAATTAGCGTCTGAAAAAGAAATATATATAGCAACATATGAAATGGCCTCATTGCAACAACAACCAATATTGGATCTTAAAATATGACTTGAATTTGAAATATAATCGCATTTTTGCGTATCAACAAAGGCGAAAAAATTTCAGTCAGTAGCTGTTCGGTAGTATGCTTTGGAATGCACGATTGTTGTTGCACAACGCATTTAGAACTGATTGAAACTGGTTGCTATTTACATGCCAAACTGATTCTCTCTTTTTTTGGGTTATCAAGACATAAACGGTCATTTGTTGTATATTCCATTCAAAGAAGCCTCCTCAATGTGTATATGATAGTTCAACAGTTGGCTTCTTCAGTGTTTTGTTAAGGATATATGTTTTATGACAATATTGCAAACATCTGCGGATTTTGCCAGAAAAAGGTCTTTACACTTTCATCGCTTAGTGATTTTCCGCCTTTTTTTCATAAACAGACAATTTCAAGATCCGAAAAAAGTGGACGTGCGGCGTCATCTCTCTGTCTGACTTGAAAATCAGCATTGAGTTAGGCATTACATAAGTTTCATAATGCATAAACAATGTTTTGGGGCGAACGAAATGCTGGAACAGATAAAAAAAACACACAAACTAAACAAGATATGATCTCATAAACGTCTTTCAAAAGTGATACGCCGCATTTTTATATTTCGCGCGCCAATCATAAGTTTTTGTTTAAAAAAAAATCACTCCCGTTTCGAAGAAAACGCCATACAAAACAAACACATAAAACTATGCGGCGACTTGAAGCGCATTCGACTCAAAACGCTTGCCCAAACATCATGACGCTTCATTATCCAATTTAGAGTGTATCGAATCAGGCGACAAAACAATTCTTTTCATTTCAAATGCTTTAATTTATTCCCAAAGTGAATCGTTCGATTTAAATTCGTTTTTGTGAATTTACAATGAAGGCCTTTGTATTTCGTCGAAGCAGCCGAAGGTTACGCATTATTAAAGCCAAATTTACGGCCCCATTTTGGCGGCATGAAATATATAGCCATTCAGCCAACTACAGTCGTTGCGAAAAAAATAAAACGAAGGCGAATATGAAATAATGAAAAGGAGTTTTTCATTTTAAGATCGAGTTTAATTTGCTTGTTTGCCATGGCATTGAAGTTACTCGGTTGATGTTCTCATTTTTCGCATCGAAAATTAATTTGAATGGGCTCACCATTTGCTTAATGTAATCAATTTGCTAAATTTCTATTTATAATCCACTTTATTCATAAAAAGAACTGGATGTGAAAGAGAAAAATTGCTTTTCCATTCGAAAGTATGATTTTAGAAAAACAAAACTCCATACGTAGTATCCATTTGAAATGCACTTGACTCACTTTATTGCATCTTTGATCTCAATAAAAATGCTTCAATTCATTCTTTTGTGTCGTTTGCACGATTAGAGTCGGAATTCAGTGCTTAGAGCAACCCACACAAGCTTCTGTTGCCGTGAATATTGTCGAAACAAAATATTTTCCGGATTGAGAAATTAAGAACCTCATTGAAAGAAAAGAAAAAAAAATGGTGAGGGAGAGAGAGTGGACAATCGCAACAGTGAACATAGTAACGAGTAGATTGGATTTAGTTGGCAATGCACGTTATGTTCACACACTACCAACTTCCATCAAAGGAATTCAATACGTATTGTCTCGTGCATATTTAATTAATTCGATTTGTTCTACGTGGCTTTTACTCGTCAACGAAGATCATTTGAATGCATAATTTATTTCAGCTTTTTTTGTGCATACGAGGTGTACGTGAACAGAGACACATCGCACGCATTTCAATTCAATCTCCCTTGCATTGATTATTTTCTTCTTGTTTTTTTGTCTTGAATAAAAATCAAATCCGAGGATTTCACATTTGGAATCGGTGAGTACTTTTTGATCGGTTTGACGAAGGAAAAACGATCAAGAAGAAGAAGAAAAGGGATGTTAGACTCTTATACGAATATCTAAATCCTGTTTGATGTGGTAATTTTTGTGTTTGATAAGTTGTCACGATCCTGTCACCAATTCAAATTTGAATTTCGGTGATTTAAAGATCCCGCGTCGATTTTCGTGGAATTTAATTCCGGTGGAGCCCTTTTTTTCGGTGAATTCGTTAAAAAAAGAACTTCTTTCCTTTCGTCAAACATCAAGGCGATTCAAATATCAGGAATTACATGATTTGGTGTGAATTACAACAGCCCTCGATGTCTCTATTGTAATTCGATGCCGATTCTTCGCATCTTTTTCACATTTTTTTTTCACTAATGATGATTTACATCTCATAACCAGAAAAAAATGATTCTTTTCTTCTCACTAATGATTTTTTGTCCCTTTAAAATGAATGCGGGTATTCTCATATTTCCAAATATTTCTATTTGGAATACCCAATTATATTCTCCAAAAAAAAGCCATCAAATTCGTTCTTTAATTGATTGTTCCAACCTCGTCAATGCTTTGGACAACTATTACGGACAAGTTTTCGAAATAGTAAATCTGTCCAAACGAAAAAAAATAAATTAAAAATGCATTCAAATACGGAAGTAAAACATTAACGGTTCTTCGATCGAATTGAATTTTCCCACACTGCATCCATTTATGGCATGTTATCCGTTGGTTCAACAAACTCTTTGGCAGGTTACACTGGTAAAACCATCTAAGAACGATTTGATTGTTTAAAACTGTCTATGGATTTTTAATTGGTGTTTTATTATCAAAAAAATGAACGCACTTTTCCTGCGTCATGAATTATTCATATTTAAATATTGTTCTGAAATCATTTTCTATCACTTATTCGGCTTATAGTAATGGTTTGAGTGTACGCGTGCATATGGATAATTATGGAATTGTCCATTCAAAGAGCGAAACATTGAATGGCAAAACCGGAAAAAACAATTATACGCATCATCAAACGAAAATCGATTAAAATAAAGAAAAAAAGAACGATACATTGACAAATGCTAAAAAAAAACTGAATGAAGCCATCGGCCACTTCTCCAGTGTACCTTTTAAGTTGTACAGCTATCGCGTACAAAAACAAATGCTTACAATTCTATGCAAGCCAATATGATGATAATTGTTTGTTATTCGAATTGAAAATTGAATATACATATGTTGAAATGGCCTGTTGGGCAACATGTTGACATTTAATTCGATTGATTATGATCGGAAGTTTTTATAATTAAGCTTTTCATTTTTCTCTTTCTCTTTTTGTGTTCACTGTTGACAAGTGACGTTCTCTCTTTGAATATTCCTTTTCGATTGATTTTCTTTGTTTACTGTCAATTATAATGAGTTGTGTAAAACGCAAACAAAAGGTTTGAAATGTTTTGATGTATACAAATCATCGCATGTCATTTTGCTGTTAAAATACGCAATACTTTGCAAATACAAACATTAATAAATTCTCGGTGTGTGTGTGTGCTTGGTTTTTTATATCTTTCTTTATTTCCTCTTTCGTTTGGTTCCGAATACAGATTATGTACAGTCGATCGATGTCTGAGTTGCTGTTATTGTCGCCATCGTCGTTGTCAAGTGCAAACAACAAATTTCTTATTTATTTACTAATCCTATTGATGAGCATTCAGTTGATCGATGCATTTTGCGACGAACACCATTGGTGGCAAGATCAAATTGGTGAATGCATACCGTGCACAGTTTGTGACGCAAGCCAATCGATTGTATTGAGACCCTGTCAAAAATATTCGGACACATTTTGTGGTACACTTAAAGACGTCGATTTGGAACTGGACTGGCTAACAGCGGCTGCCTCTGCTGCTCACCATAAACAAGTAAGTTTTTCCATTCTCAAGTTTTTCAATTCCTTTTCCGGTCGATTTAAGATACGACACACAGTGAAAGCGATCAAGTGAACAAATAATTTATGTATTGCATATTTGTCATCAGATTGAAAATCGTCAGCACTTGGGAGTCATTGAAAAATCAACTGCCGCAATGTTAATGTGGGACTGGCAATCACTATCACTTGCTTTGGCTGGTTTGATGTGTTTACTCTTTTTTATTGTTGCCGCATGCATTTACTGGCAACATTCACATTACTGGAAAAAGCTCGAACAAATGGAACGAAGATATAATGCAGGTAAGACAAGAGTTGATTTTTTTTAATTGCGGAAGTTCATTTAAAAATCGAAAAATTAAAAACGTTCGTCTGACGATGTTTCTCATCGCATCGAATTCTCACAATCAAGTCAAATGTTCAAGTGTACATTATCCAAATTGAATATTCAAAACGATAGATAAAAAAACCATTAAAAAGAAGCTCATGGCCCTTCAAACAGGTCTTCTTCCTTTTATAACATTTTGATTAGCTATTAGAATCATAATTTAAATGGTTTTATATTTTTTATGTTTAAAACAAGTGATTAATATTCTATAAAAGAATCCACGAAATCCGATTTTCGGCCCATTGTATTCGATGAAGTAAGCGCCAGAATTCTTCTTTAAATCCATCACTAAAACCAAGTGCATTTTTTTGTTTGTCTTTAACATTCCACACTCGCTAGTAGACTCTCCGAAATAAATCAGGTATTCAAACAATGTGGCCGAACAAATTTATTGTCTTAAAATGGTGTGTGAAAACAATTTTCAGTAGACAAGAAATGTGCTTCGAAATAAATTCGAAACGACAAAAAAACAAATTTAACACGATTTTTGTGTGTGAAAAGAGAGGCTCGCTCGGTTGTGATTAAGAGCGCGACTTACAAATTAATACGGTTATATTGAGTGCGTGTGCATATAAAAATAAGCGAAAAAAGATTCGTTCGACTGCATGTTGTTTTTAGTGGCTTGCGCAACAGTAATCGCAACACCAACACGACATATCCGAATCGACACGAGAAACGAACAAAATGAAAATGCTCTAAAAATGTCGTCTGTGTTTCATTCTGAAATGACAGTTATTATCATCGCTTCGACACACGACTAAATGCATGCTCCACCACAGACAGACGAATCAAATCGTGCGAAAAACAAATTCATTCCGCGGTGTGCACACACTTTTAGTAGGCAAAAGAAAGAGAGAAAATATAACAGAAAATTAAAACATTGTATGTCGTACGTTGAAAGAGATGAAATAAAAACAAAACCGTACACGTTTCATAGATGTTCAAAAATGAAAAGAAACTCGTAAATTTGAGCGATGTCAATGCACGACGTCATTATTACTAAAATGTTGGAGGCGAGAATCGCGTTCCGCGTTCAATTTTTTTTTCCTTCTTTTGAATGTTTTTTTTTTTGGGTAGTATTGGGTTGTGTCATAATCGTAAGAAGAGTGCATTACAGATGTTGGATTTTTGAAGTGAAACGAAATAAAAAAACAACATTTTTGTATAGCATGTGTTTGATTATTATTATGAATTCACTTTTTTTTTGTTTTAACATCGTTGGACATTTACAATCGATTGCTTTCTCCCCCTCGAGCCTCGACACATCGTTACTTTTTCTACTTCACGAAATTCTAACGAAAAACACATTTTTTATCTTAAATACACGACAAAATAACAATTATAATTTGTTTTAAAGACAGAAAATTGTCGATTTCAAAAGCATTGATCGCTTTACATTTCACTCAACATATTTACATAAAATGTTACATTTTTATGTTGGATCTTTTACCACACGTCTCCTAAATTTGAATGGCACAACGCTCAAAATGCTCAGAATAGACCGATTTAGAACGGAAAATGAGGAAAAAAAACAACAAATGTGTATTTAAATGAAGCTCATTTTTAATCAACACCCTTTTGAGCTTTAACTCAACTGCGATCCCTTTGATCGTTATCATCTTACTTGTTTCATGTGCCACGGTAATTTTTCAAACGAATTATTCTATTTTTATCCATTTTCCAGCCGTTTGAAGTTTCTACTGTTTTGATATAATTAACCCGGTTAATAAAAATGAAATCAAACAAAATTTTAAGCGAATTTTTACGGTTGTTATGATTTAACCCAAGTCAATTATTGTATTTATTTGAACTCGTCAACTTGAATTAATATTCGGGGCTATTTGTTTCTTAATGTTTGTTTGTAATGGAGAACGAAAATGAAAACAAAGAACAAATTTCAAAGTGAGACTGAAGTCATAAATTTCGTTTATGAACTGTTCATGTAAATATGAATGCATAATTCTTTCAGCGAGAATGCTGCTGTTGTTATTCATTCTCTCGTTGGCGTCGATTTAAAAGCCATTCATTTCGGACAGAGAAAGTGTGCTGCACAGTCATTTTATATGCGATTACTCTCGAGAAGAGACCTTTTTTAGAATGAAAAAAAAAAAATTGAACTTTATCCCAATCTGGTGTCGCATGCTTCTTACTGCACTGAATTTGCCATATGCGCTCGTTTAACCATATTTTAAACAAAGTAACGACACTGTTCGTATAACAAGTGCATGTTTTGTTCTTCTCTGATCCTTTGTTTTCATTTATGGTGTTTTTTTTTTCTTCTAAAAACTAACTAACTTTAACAGTGGTAATGGTACTACTTAGTCGCCATCGTAAAATTCGACTGGCTACAAGAATTGATCGAATCTGTTGAACATATTTCGATGAATTTTGTCTGAACTGCGCATTTTTAAACGTATTTTTTTCTGACTTCGAAATAAGAAATCTATTGGCAAGGAATAGTTTTTTGTTCTGAATAAAACCCTAAATAACCAACGTACATAAATAAAAAAAAATCCCAGAAAAAAGTCTCAAGGGTATATTCCAATTATATTTTATCGTACTTTGTTGGTTCTGTTGGTATTTTTTTTAATCTAATGAACATAATTGAATTAATTCTACAGGAAAAAAATGTAACCGTTTCAAACGAGTAACGAACTTAAATTACATTTAAAGTGGCCTAGTTGTGTTGGAACACACAAATTTTCAAGTGAAATTGATAATTTATGTGAATCACATTTCCTTCGTTGGCATAGCATGTACGGATCGATAACGTTGTCAATGATCACCAATTGAGAGAATATGCACCCACTTGTTTTACATTAAATATACTTTGGAAATACAACATTTTACCACGTATACCACCAATATATATTAAGCATTCATTTTAACTAACGATCACCTCCCATTTCATAATACAGTCATAATTGAAAACATCTCTCGTTCTCCATTAAAACGGAGATAGAGAGAGAAATTTAACTAATGAAGAGGTATTTATTTTCTCTCTTTACCGAAACCAAATCCATATGATATCCTTTAGTTTTATTTTCATCGCAGAGCCTAAAGGCAACGAACCGTTAATGATTATCAAGTTTGTCAACCGTTTTGGAAAAAATGAAATGAAAAATGTTCTCAGAATGCTAACACCGAAACTGGGCATATTCATTAATTAAATGATGGTATTTCGGCAAAGTGGCAAACATGTGTCTCGTTTTTTTCTTCTCCTGCACAAAACGACGATCATCAGATTATCATTAGGATATTTTTGTTCTTGGGAATTCGGTGATTTTTATGTTAAACTCGAAACACATTCGATTGTGAAGTATCTCTGAATTCGCATGGGGTCATGCCGAGTGAATGGCTTAATGAAGCCAATTTTCGTTCATAAACATCAAAATTCCATATACATATGTGAGAACAAGGCTAACCCAACATGATAAATCTGTCATAAATTGCTGCGCATCATTATTGCTTCAGCGCGGGTTTTGATTTTTCGTTTCGGACGTTGTTGTTATTTTGTTCGATGAGCGATAACGGAACGCTCTTTGATATTTCCAACAAAATCTCGCTAATTTTCACTAAAGAGAGATGAACACAAAAAATTGAGGCGTGTTCATCGTTATCTCTTTTGCTAACGGAATCATTTGCAAGCAACGGCTTCGTTTTAAAACAAAATATCTTATTTAAAATGGGAGTTTCACAAAGGACCGCTGAACTGACTGATGTTTTTTTTTCATTGATTTGCTTTAGAAGCAAGTTGTTTTGTTTTTACCCCGTTGACTTGTGATTACGCGGCCATTCTATAAAGATGAACGATACAGGCAAAAATGTACGGCTTGTTATGACATTAACAGCATAAAATCCATGTTTGCCTCTTCAATAATTTTTTTTCTGCTATGGGAGATTCTTTTTTTACTCTCTCTTTCTCAATGTCTGCCTTTTCGTCTTTCTCTCTTTATCCTTGTGTCGCCCGGCATGGTTCTTGAGTCATTTTTATGTTATTGTACGCGATTATCCACTTAAGCGTTGAGTTGAACTGAAGACGATTGAATGATTTATGTGTGTTTCATACACATCTCTACAGTTTTTTTTCTCTTTCAATTCGAATCGGTCAATGTTGTATGCATCGTTCCATGGTGTAGTACAATAAATTAGTATATGTTGAAATCGCATTCACCGAAGAAAAAAAATCACAGACACTTGTAAGTTTATTAAATTGATAAAATAAAGTCGATCTTCGTTTACAAGATTGAATCGCATGAATTAGGCACAACAAGCATCACATTGTTTGAACAAAGTTCTTTGTTCGCATTTCAGGAAAGTAAAAAATAAAATAATAAAAACGATATGAAGTACCATCATCTTAATCAAATGAAATGTAGAGATCGAGAAACGAACAAAAAAAGATGAAATACGCATCACTCTGCACAGTTTCGGGTCAACGTGGCCAAGATTATGTTTCATTGACTTGTTTTTCACCATGATCAAATGCACCAAAGACAAAGTCATAATACTGAAATGACATTCGCTGCGGCTATAAAACTGATTATTCATTATGTACTTCATTCGATGTCTTTATTGAAGCCATTCGACAGATTGATTTGACTCCCGTTCAATATAGGGGAATACTATCAAAATATTATCTGTCGTTTAAACACAATAGCCATCTTTAAATTGGTTTAAAATCATTGAATGAAAAAACCAATTCATTAGGATTCGATGTTAATTCTTTGAAAAAAAAAAAAAATGTCACTATATCGTACTATATTGTAGAAAAAATTACTTTCAAATTTGACCTTTTAAAAGGTATATACGATTTGCACGTGATTTATGCTTGTCTTGTTTTCCTTAAAAATAGAATCATTTTCAAAACGATCGTGAGCTGAATAACTTTCGAGCGAAGTAAAAAAAAGGCATTACGTTTGCAAATTGTGCCGTTGTCGCATAAAATGGCCAGTTTATTTCGTATGCATCTTATTATACATACGTGATTTTCCGCATGCAATGTTTATAAACGATTGTGTGGTGTGTGCATCTGTTGATGTTGCACATATGTCCTCATAAATGTGAACGAATCCAAATGTATGGCGAACGCAGATATGGCAGACATGGCACTTGACTTATGTATCCAACTGTTTGCAAACGACTTGTCGTTGTTGCTCTTCTCCCTGTTTTTTTTTTTTTTTTTCATTCGGTTTGGAAAAACTTGCATCGCTTCTCTGCTATTTACAATATTTGACATGGTATATTTTTAAAATCATTCTGAACTGAGCGGGTTTTTTTTCGCAATGAGAAAGAATGAAAAATGTAAATGAAAAGAGAAGAAAATCGATGGAAAACAGAATCCCTAAACACCGAACGCAGGCAAACGACAATTCATAACAGCAGGCAAACATTGTAAAAATACACATGAAACTCCTAAAAATAACGTCAGTTAGGATGCAAAAATAAGAGACACAGAAAAAGAAGAAGAAGAAGAAGAAGAGAGAGGTTGAAAAAGAAGAAAAGGAGCACTCCTAAATCATCTTCATGTGCAACAGTAGATAATGATGACCGAGAACAAAATGGAAAATCGCTTAAGCGTACTAAATTTTAATATGATACTTTTGTTTTTGTTTTTCATTTGGGTCGGCCTCTGATGACTCTCTCTCTCTCTCTCTCTCTCTCTCCATGTGATGCTTTCAATGCATGCATGTAATTTAATCATTTTTCGGCTAAATCAAAAAATGTGTGCATTCAGTTTGCGCGCCAAAATCCATTCCTTCACACTCCAGACATGACAAATGAATTGTATCGCTTGAAATTAGGAAAACGATTTGTTACACATTTACTGATTGCATTTGACTCTTGACAGTGACAAATTTAATTTCAACATCAAATCGATTACTAAACCATATATTTTATTTTCTATTTTCAGAAGCGGAAGAGTTATCATCACGATTGATGCACACAATCATCGATATTCGGAATGATGACAACGGCCGAGTTGTATTGGAAGAGGCAAAAAAAGATAAAATTACAAATCCATTCGATTTGCAATGCATTTATTTCGAAGAATTACTAAGTAAGTGTTGATTTACTTCGATCATTATTTTATTAGATAATAAAAAACGAAGCCAACTACAATTTTATGGCCACATTGATAGTTTAGGCAAATGTTTTTTTTTATGGCAAACCCGAAAATAGTTTCATTCAAATGGAATGGATGACTTTTTGTACAATGTATATACAATTTTATGATAGTTCGATGCAATCGAAATAGTACGAGTAGAAAGTAATTTTGTAGCAATAAAATTGTCTAATGTCGTTTTTACGATAGATCTGCTTTCTTTAAGCACTCGACTTATTTCTATTAATAGCCCATATATTTACAACGCACCAATCGTTGAAAATTCATTGAAAATTTACTTATTCATTTATTGCATTCCATCGCCATAATTTTGTAGACTGATTAATTTTGGCCAATTTTTAAATGATAGTCGAAGGCTTCTTGCTTAGGCTTTTACAGAATAGGAGCACCTACATTTTTCTGGATCGTTTAAAGTTTTACAAAAAAACTTCGAATTTAGTTTACGGTACATGCATTTTTAATTGGAGCATTTTTGAAGAAGCACCCTTTTTATTGGTGCGCTACAATCGAAAGTAAAAAATGAATGGCCTTAAGCCGGTCGGCTTCGTTTGAATTTATATTTTAACGAAAACTCTCTCTTGTTCAATATGTATACTGATTTTTTTTTCTTATTTATTTTCGTTTTTTCATTAGATACTGATGGTGCGCCAATGCCAAAACCGTTGATTAAAACAAATCCGAAAAAGCAACAACAAATCGAACAACAAAAAGTTGAACTTGATACAAGCACAATCAAAGAGCGACCGATTGAAGATGATGCGGTGCAAAAGAAAGGTCGTGGCAATTGTTACATCGAACCAATGCACCAAAATAATTGTGTCACATCCGAATTGTATATGATCACATAAAACGTCCGTTTGTTTGGTTTGTGTGCGTGTGTGTAAAATTGTCATTCGTTATTCAGCCGAGCGAGAAAATGAAATGGCAACCACATAATACCAATACAAATCTCGTTGTATATTATTTAGCGTCCAATTTTTCGAAAGAATAAGATGAAGAACCAAATAAAAAATGTAACATATATAATAATCATCACATTGTACAAAATGCAAATCAGAGATTTCCCTTCATAATATTTTAACATATAGTATAGTTGTGTACGTGCAAAAAAACAGTGCTTGACAAATGTATTATTATCCATACGAGCTATTAATTAAATAAAACAAAAATTGATGTTATATGAATTTTTAAAATAATAAAATCGAATACTTTTGATTCCATCTCAAATTTATTTATCATTTTTGTTTTTTTTTCTCTTTCTTTTTATTTCAAATAATATTTACAAAAAATTTCTCTCAAACGCAAAATATAGAAATGGAGTTTATTGTATTTGTTCCGAAATATATTGAATACATGGTTTGTAGTATATGTGAACTTTGGACTCTCCGATCAAATCGTTTTATTTGTTTTCTTCAATAAATAATTACTGTCTTCATCATACTTCTTTTTAATTGAAAAAAAGAACAATCCCGCTTCAATTTTTCAAAAAGCTATTCCCTAATATTTTTTTTATATTTTATTCTTTCAATACATGTTATTTATCTTACTTATTGGGCTGAAAAAATCTAACACACTACACCTCAGGTCAACAATCGAGATTTTTTTTAAAGACGCGAACAAAATCAACTCACAGAAAAAGTTTAAAAAGAAAAAAAATTCTTATCAACATTTGTGTCATTTTTGCACAGTATTGCTTTTTTTACGAATATTTAATATCTAAACTAAAGGAAGTTATTTTAACGTTAAATGAAGATGATGTTCGAATTTTAAAAGTGAAATAATTTGAGAAAATATTAGCGATTATTGTGAACTTAGTTTAAAATAAAATGATTGAGCTGTATTTAAATCTCGTATGCATGTCTATAGAACGAAGGCAATATATATAAAGGGTAAAACGATAGCACATAACGTGTAAATAAGGCGCTGATTAGTGTGAAAAGATATATAAATGGATTTATAAATTATTTTGCAGAAACGAAAGTAATGTCGTCTCATAGTGTTTGCTCGCTTCCAAATTACGCAGCGAGTGCCGTTCACGTGGATAAACTTGCAGTTGATACGGTTTATTGGCTTTGATGAGGAGATTGATAAGCTCAGATGTGTGATAGAAATGTACATTTTCATCGATTAAACCATGAATGATCAACAGTCGATTATCGCTGTAATGGAGACATTTTTAAATTTATCATTAAAAAAGAGGTTTTTTTTTGTCGAATTCGTTATCGAGGATAAATTAATTTATGAAAAAAGTAGACATTCGAGTAAACCTTTACAGTCGTTGAATATAAAATAATTTTTGAGTTCATGTTCTTTTTCGCTACTCAGTACGTAATAAAAATGACTATAAAGATTTACTGTCGTTCATTTATACATTTGTTGTTCCACTTACTCGTCTGGAAATTGATTAATATAGCTCAATACCGAACCGTTTGCATAGCCCTCTTTGTTATGTTCTGGCAAATCCATGTAGCGTTCAGTGTAGCCTGTTTTCCAATGAAAAGCAATGGTCATGATATTCATGATAAATGTGGTTAAATTTGCATTTGCCGTATTTACCCGTGTCATACAATTCCCAGTTGGTCACTGGCGCTCCGGCAATGGCCAATTTGAAAATGGATGGATACTGAATTAATCCCATCAAACTTAGATAACCTCCGTATGACCAACCATGTATAGCCACACGGTCAATATCAATGTATCCCAAGTCATTCACCAAACGTGTCAGTATTTCAACTTGATCTGCTAGTTCAACAGAGCCCATGCGTCGCCATAAATGAGATTCAAATTCAACTCCCCGATGCCTCGATCCTCTTGAATCGATGCAAACAACGCAATAACCTTGTGCGGCCAACATGTGCATTCTCAACTGACGCATTCCCTGAGAGTAATAAAGATTATAAATGTGATAAAAAATTATTCATCGTTAACAATGCTTATTCTTACAAAAATGACACATTTGTATCATAAAAAACGTATTGAAAACAATGATGAATCTACCTTAAATGTATTGTTAACCGTTTGGACTTCTGGTCCCCCGTATACGTTTACGACGGTTGGATATCGTTGACCCGGTTTATAGTTGTGTGGTTTAAATACCATTGCATATATTTGTTCGCCTGACTGTAATTGTCGACTATAAATGGATGGACTGAATTTCTGTAATTGTACCGTACTTGGAATGCCACCCTCAAATAGGTATCCAAGTAATCGTAGTTCAATGTTTTCAACGATTTCGCCTTGCATATCATTTGTATCACAAACTTCAAATACACCACACGTGGGCAATTGATGAATATTGCAATATGTTTGCACAATAATGTTGCACTCATCGTTGAATTCAACTGCATACGAATTTCCTGGTTTCGTAAGCAAACGAATATGATTCGGTTGTGATAGGCTAACCACATACAAATGTTTCTCCAACGGTGTTTCACGTAAACCTAAAAAATACACTAATTTCTTTTTACGATCGTACCATAAATTGCGACCCAACACTTCCCATTCGCCTGAGGTGAGCGCTACTTTCGAAATAATACATGGTTCCCATAGCGCTTGTTTCATATTGTCACCGCTGTTCACCATTCCATTTTTGGATTGATTCGATTCTGACTGCTGCTGCTGCTGTTGTAAAAGTGATGTCACCAAATACAAATGTCTGAAGCCAGTTTCTTCCGATGCCCAAATAAATGTGACTTGTGTGTCAGTTACTTCAATGAATTCGAGTATGTCGTTAACATTTATCCAGGTACTTGCTACTTGTGACCAAATTACTTGAATCGGTGCCGATTGTTTGGTTAGGCTGGATTGCCAGCTATGCTCCACGATGGCCGAACCATTCGGTGATGTTGTTTCTGTGCTATTACTGTTGCTGTTGCAAACATCGGAGAAATTTTTCAACGGTATCACAATTAAATCCAAACGATTCTGTTGACGATTTAACAATTGTGCCCATATATGCTGTGAATCTGGCATCCAACCAACGCGTACAATGTATTCCAACCAAGGTATATGATAGGTGAGCGGATGTTGTAGGTCTTTTATGCAAACATTTTCGATTTGAAGCGTTTCCGACAGTTCGAATTGAACTAATTTCAATTTTGATTTGGCATTTGGTGAACCTGCACGGGGAAACCGATACTCTTCATAATCAATGCCAACCGGTTGTGATGATGGAAACTTGAACAACAGCACATCACTTTCGTCAACCTCTTCGTACAGAATTCGAAATATACCATCTGTGTGAAAATGAGTAAAGAAAATATTTTCTTAATAATGTGCAATTATTCTGGGGGGTGTTGGAAATTACCATCGCTATTCGGTTGCCACCAAAAACCTTGATATCGACTGAATTCCTCTTGCATTACATACGATGGAACACCAGCACTGAGAGGATTATCACTGAACGATTTATTTTCATCGTGTGCATTTGTTAAACGTATATTGTGTCCGCTAACCATGTTTATTACCTGCGCGACAATCAAAATGAAATGGAACATTTTGTTGAATAAAATGGCAAAGTATATTTTTTATTTACCCAAATATCACCCGATGAAATGTATGCCACGACTTCTGAATTATCTGGACAAATTTGTGGATCGAGAGCGCCACGTAATTGCACTAACTCCGATGGATACAAGGGACTCGACTGTCAATATAAAAATCAAATAATCGAATCACATTAATTTAAAACAACGGAATGAAATTACTTGAAAGCGGTACGGAAATTCGTAATATTTACATTGTAGCCGGTGTCAAGGCATTGGAATAGAGAGCTGGATGCGGGAAAAATCATGCGACCACTTTTTTTATGCAGTTCATATGATGTTATTCCAAATGTTGACAGTCGTTTTCGTTCCAATAACAATTGAAAAGCTCTAACACACGAATTATTCGATGCCAAATTGGGAATTGATGGCTCGAGCAATAATTGCCAATGTAATCTATTGAAAGAAAATGAATAATAAGAAATAAGTAAATAAATCCATAAAATATACCATTCGTAAGTACCTCAGATTGTGTAAATCATCGTTTGATTCTGATGACAACATATTGGGCGTAATGTCAGTGCAAAGTAATGTCGTTTCCCATCCGTTGGGCGGTGCACCCAGAAAATAAATCCGTACACGTCCATCGCTCAATTTACGAAATTGTATGTTCATCGGCACCATCGTGGATAGTCTTGATAATTGTTTTCGCAATTCGGTGACCGACTCTTTTAATTCTGACCAGGTTTTTTTGCGTGGAATTGGTTCCATATCGGTTGCTTGTTGTACTGATGTTGATTGTGACGATGGACTTCCATTACAATGATTCTGCCAAATACTTGTACTTGCCGTAACATTTGTATCCATAACGGGTCCTAAAAAATCAAACCAAGATAAATTCACTTGAGGAAAAAAACATGACATTCGAATTTCAATTGCTCTTTGGCTCCATCCAATCACAATGAATGTCGACTCTTTTTTTTCCCTATTCTACATCAAAAAGGGTGTCCAGAATGACACTTCAATTTTGACACTACCGTTCGTTCACTCTTCAATTGGTTCGCTTTAACGGCATTTTTATTATGGCAATTGTGTTTTTCTTTTTTTGTTGTTGTTGTTGTTGTTCGCTCCAACATGTTGTTTACTTTTATTGATTGAACATTCAGCTATTTATTGAAAACGACATTTAAAGAAAGAATGGCAAGAGAAAAAAACCTGAAACCAATTTATGCAGAAAATGCAAATTCCGAAGTAATTCTGTTGCAATGAGCGATAAATTCACCATAAATTTTCACAATTTAATGTAATTGCGGCGTGGAAATGAAATACGCGCGCGTTCAATGTTTCCAATTTTGTGTTGCAAATATCTGTTTAAATCATTGATATAATGTCATCGCAATTTTTCACTTTAAACATATGTAGAATGTATGCACATCGGCAGAACGGCAATGACAAACTAGAAAATTGAAAATCTTTCACACAATTATTTTCATGCACTTTGTTTGTACAACGACATGACATCAGGGTTCTAATGAACAACCGCAATATGTACAATTGTACATCTATATATGTATATAGGTTCAAACACTCAAACACCGTCGCGCGTATAAAATGATTACGGTTCGGAATGCAAATACAAAATTCGACTATGCACTGGGTCAAATGAAAGCCAAAGACGCGTTTATCATATTGGTAATGAATTTATCTCATAATTACTTTTTTCGGCGGCGTCTGATTGTGCTATTCTGGCGAATGACAAGCACCAATCGAAAACAAAAAAATGTATGACGCGATGACGATATCTTTAAATTCTTTTTATTACTGCACCTTGGTGTCGTTTCGCTGTTTCTTTCTCTTTTCTCTGGTTACGGTTGCTGTTGCTTATTGTATTTTTGTTACTGTTGTTGTTGTTGTTGTTGTTTTGGTGTGTCGATGACTTTCGAAATGATGAAATCTTGGTAGTCGTCATGCAATTTTGATCGCAAAATGTTTTGAATTCGAGTATTGTTTTGATTGCTAAACATCAACACACGACAATGCATCGACCACTATCAAAACAATATTATCTTTTTTGTTGCTCGATTTGTTGTCGTCGTTTCTATTCGCCCAAATGAAAATCCGTTCTCAATTGCTTTATATTTAGTTCACCGCACCGAATCCAAATTGAAATGGCAAATGTGATTTCGGAGCAAAAGAGAGAGAACACCAATCAGATGATGATATGTGTGTGTACCAGAAACAAACGTCTACATGTATTTGTACAATATATATTGAACACGCGTCAAGTCCGGCAATGGATGCGTTTCATGACATTTGTTTTGAATCGATTGAACATTTGAAATTTGCACATTTTATGTGTAATTTGCTGTATTTTCAGTTTTCTTTTCTTAATTTATCAAAACTAAGTTTAATTGCTAATTTTCTAATTATATTTGAATATTTCGTTTTGTTTATGGCGCTTTATTTTGTTAATGAAAACAACTATATAACATTTTATAAAACCTTTGGAATCAAAATTCTCAAAAACTTTAATTGGGCCAGGGACAGTTATCTTCTAATTTGCGAATTTAATAGAGTCTAATGTAATAAATATAATTAAAATGAATTTTTATTGCATTTTAATCATTTAACTTCATATCTTATCTTTTATCCAAAGATATCTTATTAGAAAGAATCTGTGCATTGAACTTTTAACAAAACATACATTTTTGGTGGTATTTGTTAATAATTTTTTATTTGGATGGATTGTACTTAGATAAATTTCCTCTTAACACGTAGAGCCCATATTTGTTTTTTAATTATCGGTATTTTGATAGCGATTTATTTTCATTGGGACAATCCTAGATTTGCGAAGAAAAGTAATTTGTGAAAACCAAGAGAGATAATCAAAGAAGAAAGGGAAGTCGAATTTTATAACGAAATAGCTGAAAAAGGCAATAGATATTACATTGAAATATAAAATTGATTTATTCTTTGGATTTTCCCAACAAATGTATTTGAATCGCTTAAATCTATTCTTCGGCTCCCACCATAAACCATTTATTACGTGCAGTAACGGCCGCACCACGAACGCAGCGCTTATGATCATCGAGTGCTGGCTGCAAACCAATTAAAACATCTTGTACAAACGGCAAAACCACGAATGTCGGATAATTGGCTATGGATGACAGAATACTTATCGCATCGACACGAATATTCTAAAAGAGAAACAAAACAAAGTGTTGAAACAAAAACGGGTAAATTTCGATTTCAGTATTCCTACCATCGATTCTTTAGAAGTGGTCAATTTGAGGCATTGCGGAATCATATTTTGTAGATGATCACGGAAAAATTCATTTTGTTCGGTAACAAAACGCTTAATAATAGCCAAAGTTGCTAGTATCGATTTGGTTCCCTTCAAATTAAGACAATTCAGCAAAACTGGACCAATCTGAAATGTATTTTACATTGATGTTAACACAAAATTATCACAATATATAAGAGATGAGATAATAATATTTTTGTTCACCTTTTGTATTTCGTTCTTGAGCACCTGATGCGGCGTCAGCTTCAGTATGAATACAAATGCCGATAAATGTTTTTCGGAATATGATTCCAATTTATGCCATAATCCTTTCAAACAAAGTTGAAACAGTTTTTGCTTGAAAAGATGCTTTATAACAGGCAAATGCAATTGAGGAAATTCAATTGAAATTACGTCAAAGGCCGCCACGGCCGCTTCAGAAAGTGTTGGATGCTCCAATAGTTCGATTAACTGCAAACCAATAAACAAAAAATTGAAAAATTGATTGAGAATGAGTAGAATTCAATAAAAAGTACCGTATCAATAATTTCGGATGCTTCGGTATGGCCGCGAGTCAAGAGACCTTTTGAAATCCATGACAACACTTCGACTGCCTTCTTGTTGTGTGTTTTCAGTTCGTCTTTGATAAGTTTCAGGATTTTTTTCAGTATGCCCGTGCTGTGCTCTGTATCCGGACACTTATTAAACAGACTGCATAGCAATTGATTGCTTATCTTCGTCATCGCTTCGTCGTCAGTCTTCAATGACAATTGTGTGAGCTCGTCAACGAGACGTTCAAAATGATTTTCCAAGTCAACAGTTTCCTCTAAGTAACCCAGCAAACCCAATGCAAAATACAAATCGCATTTCAATTGCAATTTAAGCGATGTCAAGTACTTTTCAACGAGTTGCTTTTGCGTTGCCGCGTCCAGGTCTTTGATGACGATTCGTAAAATTTGCGACATTTCATAAAGAAAGTCATCGGTGCCGGTGAGTGTGTCGGCATTTGTTTCATCCAATTGCTTGGAATGTATCAATTCAAGGAATCGATCAAAAACATTGTACTTTGTGTACATTTCCTCGTGAAGTGTTTCATTTTGATCATCTTCAAGAATGTGACGCAAGACACGTACACCAATCAAACGGATTTGATTTCGATATTCAATCTTCGAAGCATCTTGTTCGAAAATGTTGTGAAATAAAAATTGTAAAATTTCTTCGCGGAATTTTCGAATTGCAATCAAACAGCACAGATTTTCAAACAATTCAGCAATAGCGGCCGGCTCGAGTTTCTGTGCAATATAATCGATGTTAAGAATATGATTCACAATTTCAGTCGATACTTCATCTGGATATCGTGCGGCAAATGCACTCAAAACATTGCTACAATTTATCGGCGTTGCATTTACGGCGTTCACTTCTAGCATGTACGAATTTAGAGCACGATAAACGAGCGTACGATTTGAATCGACAACTATCGGTGCGGTCAATGCCAGCGCCTGCAAAGCGATTTTTATCAATTTCTCACTGTCCCCCGTTCGCGGTACCAAGCAATTGATGAATTCAAATTGAGCTGTTTCCAGGAGTTTTGTATCGATTTCATTAACCACTTCGTTTTCAATGCAAATTGCGATTAGCTGAGCGGATAGTTCTAGTAGTGTACCTCTTTGTATCTGTTGTTCGGCATTGTTTTTGTTAATTTGAAGTAAAAATGCTGGAAGACATTTCTTGGTCACAATTTTGGCCGAAAATTTACTTGTTTCAACACATTTTAAAGCTATGGCGGCCGATGGAGCGAAGAGATGACTGTTCACATCCGACAGTGATGGTAAAATCGTCGACACAATGACTGTAAGTACGTTTGTTATAACCGTTTCATCCTTGGCCAGACTCACTAAAAGCACTTGCAATGCATCTAGTGTTGCTATCGTTATATCCTTACTACTGCCCGGTAGTAATTCATTCTTCAATGCTTTCCAAATATCTGGAAATTGTTTTTCAATTGCAGCTGGTTGGAATTTCTGTGACGCCTTTGATAATAAGTACAATGAATCCAATTTGGCGACATTCAATTGACTGTCCATCTTTTCGATTAGCAAATTGATGCAATCCTCTGTGAACGATTCGTGCGAACAGAGACAGTTGGCAAGTTTTTCAGCCAATTGATCACGTGTTATAACGCCGACATCATTTGGCGATGGATTGAAATCAATGGGAAAGTAACATGCAATCACTTCGAATGTTTCTTCATTCAAATGGTCCAATGGAAATGTTTCCAAAAATGTCGGAATGAAATCGAACAAAAATAGCAAAATGCGAGGATCACGTTCACCGTCCATTGCATTTATGAAACCATATACGAAATCAGGTCCCATACTCAATAGTTCTATGTGTGTGAAAGAAAAAAAATTACATGATTTTTTTTTCTTCAAAAAAATTGAAATTAATTGAAAAATAATTTACCTTTCGTTTTGGTTTTACAAAGGCTTGAAATAATATTGAAAATCGTGGTTCGATCACCCTTGACTTGACTTTGACACGCAACATTCTGGAACATGGCTTGTAGTAATCGGGCTGCGCATTCATCTGGCAAATTGTTCATTTTGGTCAGAGCCTCGATGCCCGACAATGTTCTCGGCACCACCGAATGATGGTCTTTCAAGCGATCACAGTAAAATGTTGTTACAAAATTGAGTTGGACCGGATTTAGAAAGTCTGTTGGTAAATTGGCCAGAGTGGCCGACAGCAAGCGCATTGTTTTTTCTCGAATACCAACATCGGTTGATGTTAAAAATGGCCCCAATGCTTCGATGAAACCATTCAAATCAAGCCTCTTCCCGCCGATATCTGTACAATAAAAATGACCACTTTGACTTTCGCATGACATTTAAATAAAGAAAAATTGTAATCCAAACCATTTGCAAATTCTGTTGCAGAAGATGTGATGATTTCGTCATTTTCCAAGCAGCTCTCAATATCCTTCATTTTATTGGTTAAAACACTTTTTCACCCAAAATAAATTTTAGTTTTTTTTTCAATTTTTCTTAGAATTATCTAAACGTTTCGCACTTTAATCAATATCTCGAATCTAAACTGCTTTTTGTCAGGTTAAAACGAAAACAAAGCAAAGAAATTCTTTATTCGGTATGGCAATGTTTTCGATTGCGTGTATGTGTGAGTTCGTTTGACTTTGACTTCGTTCATTCACATGTGTTCAAATAATGCCAAACGATCAACTGTCAGTCCATATGTGTGTATGACAGTTTTACACTGTTCGATTGTGACAAGGTTTTTATTGTTTGATGGTGAGTGCGTTTAATGCATTCAATGCCGTCAACTGAATGTATTCGGTGTGTCATTGGTGCTCCTAATTCATTAGTTTCACACTGTATCACTGCCATTCGTAACAGTTGCAACTCATTCTGCGTTCGTCTGTTGTTGTTTCTATCTCTTTTGTGTGTTTATTTGAGCTTCTGTTTTTTTTTTGTTTCGTTCACTGTATTTGTTTTTTTTTTCTATTGACTGAACTCCGAACCAAAGCATCACACGATTTGGTAACGTTTTAAGGCGGATCACTTTTGCGTGATAAAATTTTTGATTTTTTGTGTGAGAAAAATATAATTTGTGTGATGGCATTTACAAACTATCAAATATTCTTAGCATTGTTGCAAATAACAACAGGCAGTATTAATACACTCAGCACAAAGTGAGTATTTTTTTTTTAATAATAATTATCATATTGCGATGAGCTGAGATTTCTTATCATATATTTCTCCGGGAGTTAATAACATTTTAAGTACCATATACAAATGAATCAAGTGGTGGCAATGAATAAAATAAATAAAAGATCTGCTCGATATTTATATCATTACATTACTTCGATCAAAAATTGCATGCCTTGTAAATTTTTCCCTTGCAAAAGGCACTTTTTTTCTTCTTGCGTCGGTTTTTGATTACGCGGAGAATATGACTAATTGCCAGCATATCTTGTTAGCCCCTATTTGTTGATATTTTAATTTACATGCCATTCATATCCATTTGATGTCCATTCAGAATATATGGCGATTTTCATTTAATTTTTTGGTATTGGTGATGATTTCAGATGGGCTGATACATTGGAATCAGAAGATTCAAGTGGTGTAAAAAAAGAATTTAAACATCCGTTTGTTCAAGCATGTGCCATGTTCTTAGGTGAATTTCTCTGTTTGCTCACATTCAAAGCGGTCTACTATAGTTTGCGTCGCAATCGTGTAAGTATTTGTTACAAATTAATGTCGAAAAATATTTGTTAAAAATACTTCTTTATTTTTGATATTCATGTCGTTTATTTAAATAGAATGGTTCAGAAGATCAGAATACATTGACCAAAGGAGCAAGAGAATTCAGTGCTTTTACCCTTTACGTTCCAGCTATTTGTGATATGGTTGGTATGTACATGCAAAATTTGAGTTGCTAATTATCTAATTCATTAATTTAAATGGAACTTGATACGTATCATCAATGATGATTCATCAAGGAAGCAAAAAACAAATTAAAATAACAATTCCATTTAGTAGTGATTCATTCCTTTCAATGCAATTCGAAGTGCACATTTTTTGTTATGGATTTTTTTTTTCAACTACATTATCACATGTTACTTATATGACTGATTTTTATGCATTAGGTACGTCACTCATGTATATTGGTTTGAATTTAACATTTGCGTCGAGTTTTCAAATGTTCCGTGGTGCTGTTATCATTTTTGTCGCATTGTTGAGTGTGGCATTCTTGCAGCGTCGCCTTATTGCACGTGAATGGACCGGTATCTTTATCATTGTCGTTGGTTTGGCAATGGTTGGCATGGCCGATATGGTAATACATATATTTTTTTCACAACTATTATGCTTGAATCTAAATTTAATATTGATATTTCGAATATAGTTGGAATCTGGTGATTCTGGTAAATCACGAAATGACATTATCACCGGTGATTTGTTAATTTTGGCTGCGCAAGTTATAACTGCTGTTCAAATGGTTTATGAGGAGAAATACGTTGCTGGTATGGATATCCCGGCTTTGCAAGGTAATTATTTGACGTTAAAAATGTTACGTGAAAAATCATTCTATATAACTCCTCGTATTTTTGTTTGTATACATTTCCAGCTGTTGGATACGAAGGTTTGTTTGGTTTTGCAACACTTGGCGCACTATTGGTACCTTTCTACTATATCAAAGTCGGCCCACCGTTCACTAACAATACAACCGGTTCATTGGAAAATGTTTTTGACGCCCTCATTCAAATCAGAAATAGTTGGCAAATTTTGGTATCGATTTTGGGTACAGTAGTATCAATTGCATTCTTCAATTATGCTGGCATCAGTGTGACAAAAGAGATTTCGGCCACAACCCGTATGGTTTTGGATTCCGTTCGTACAATGGTGATTTGGGTAGTGTCGATGGCCATCGGTTGGCAGCAGTTCCAATTTTTACAATTGAGCGGCTTTACTTTCCTTTTGTTCGGCATGTGTCTGTACAATAATGTGCTTGTGATTCAAACATATCGTAAAATTTGTGATATGTTCACACGTCGTGACTACGGTAACATCGTCAATGAAACGAATGTAATTGTCAACCGACCCGCCGATGATACTTCCGCTTAAGCTTAAGACATGTTTTTTATTAGATGAAATATCTCGATTTAATTAAAAAAAAAAACAAAGTCTGAACTATTCTGAAAAAAAAAAAACAAAGTCTTCTCATATTTTTGTACTTGATTTTCAATTGTGACATGTCAAATTTGTTGTTATTTTAAACCAATTGTGATTTATTTTGACAATTTTCAATAAAAAAATTCAATTCGCTTCTAATAAATTTAAAATGAATTTTTATATATCCTCTTAATAATTATTATATATTTTTTAATTTATCTACAATATAAAAGATTCGGGAATGTAGTGGGCGACCCATACCGCATGAAAAAAAAATGCAACTTTTCGTTCGTCGAGAATAATTTTTTGAATTTTTTTATGTTTTCTGGTGTAAGCACCTCTTTTAAATGAGCGAACTCAAAATTACACAAACCACATTTTTCACTTTGCGACTTGTTATAATTCACTAGAACATTGTCTTCTGAAATAGCTTCTGAAATGCATATACTATTGGGGGAACTTGATTGGACGTCTCACTGTATTATATATACAGTGCCGTGCAAAAGTTTGAGACCACCTATGTATTTTTCATACAAAATGGCGTAAAATACCATTTTTCGAGGTTTCAAAAATAATACTTTTTATTCTCAGAAATCAATGATTTTCGGCATATTGTTTCAATATCTTATGAAGATATATAATATATAGTGTATAGGCTATACTCTTGCGTCCCTCTGCACAGTGCTTAGAGACTCTTTATAGTTAAATCCATAACGGCATATACGGTGCAACAACCTACCGCCATATAAACGCGTTTGGGCGACACCATCGATAGATTGTCGTCAGCAAACCAAGGGTTTCTGTTCGACTGTCGTCGATGGTCCAGTCGAACAAACATATGCGTAGGAGGTATAGCTTACTTGGCCATACGAATGTAAACAAATGATCGAAATGACATGAAAAACCATATGAATTTTTAGTTAGTGCCACCTATATGTCAGTCGCGGGATTTATTGATCGAAGTTTTACAAAACCGAAAGTTTGTATGCATGTATGTTGCGGGTTGGCGGCTAAAATTAAAAACAAATTAGCAAACACGTTAGACGAATCAGTCATCTGTGTATCTATCCATGTACATTGTATGATCCCAATTTGTAAAATCGAACTGTATTGTGATTTTGACGCCATAAGTTGTAATTGAAAAATTGTTTATTTGAATTCATTCATGTATTGTGGAATATAATCGCTTGCCATTTGATTTATTTGTGTTCCAATCTCAAGAGTTTTATTTATATTGATATTCGAAAAAATGTCCCAATCCCAATGAAGTATTTTTTGATAATTAAAGATATTTTTTTTCATTGCGGACATAGTGTTTTTTGATAAGACGAACAAAACGCCTGCTAATCAGTTAATGTGTTTAAAAACATGAGATAATGTCAACAATCTCTCTTGTATAAAACAACTGCCGTCCGCAGTGATTGTCAGAGTTTGTATAGACTGCATTCGATAACTGTAAGCATGTGTCAAAGCATACGGTTACTTTTAGTTGTGCTGTGCACTACTGTTTCTTTATCAAAACAGTACGAAACCATTTATTCTTATTATTCATTTGAATATATTACTTCAAGTGATTTTATCATTAAAGTCGATAATATTCAACAAAATACAGTGTATACAGTTCAAAAATTCGGTCGTACTATTCAACGCGTTCATTTGGGTGAAAATTTTGGAAAAAATTTCTCAAAAACTGAAACAAACAATGGATTTGTCTTGCACGGGCTGAATCGCGACGTTGAATTTAAAATTGTCGAAGATAGCGACGATTTTACATTGGTCAAGGTTTCCAGTGTTTTGCAAAAAAACCAAAAAGACAGTCATTGCGTTGAATTGGTGACGGGTAAAATTTCGTGGTTTGGTGGACCGCAGATCTTTTATCAATACTGGCCAGTTGAGAAGCTTCGATTTGAAGATTATTCGTACGTTCCAAAACAGCTTGATAATGTCGGCGTGGCCGAGCGATATTGGTTGAATTCAGAAGGCGGTTTCATTTATATCGATGATACAGTGCCACTGTTTTTGGATCAAAATGTAAACGGAAACAAGCTCTGTTTTAGCGTTAAAAATGAATTGCCATATAATACCCGAAGAGAAACAATTGATTTCAAATACAATTTGGGCTTTGGTAAAAATGCTAAAAAAGCACAGAGAAAAGCCGTCGAATTATTTTTGAAAAAACCAACGGCAGTTGCTGACCGTCGAATGGTTGAACATCCCATTTGGTCGACATGGGCAAGATACAAAGCAAATATTACCGAAGAAACAGTCAAGCTATTTGCTTCCGAAATTGAACAATATGGATTTAACAATAGCCAACTGGAAATTGACGACGATTGGGAGATTTGTTATGGGGCTCTTACATTTAGAGAGAGTAAATTTCCAAACATTCGACAACTCACTGATAATTTAAGAGAACGAGGTTTTCGGGTAACACTTTGGATTCATCCGTTCATCAACAAAGGCTGTGACCCGTGGTATTCAGAAGCAAAAGAAAAAGGGTAATTATACATTTCTAATTCAAGTTCTGAATCGAATTTTATATGTATCAAAAATAAATGCTTACTTTAATATAGATACTTAGTGGTGAACTATGAAGATAATCCAGATACTACGTGGTGGAACAGTAAAGTAGATGATGCTGCATACATTGATTTCACAAATCCCGATGCTGTCAAATGGTACCAAGACCGATTAAAAACTTTGGAAGAAGAAGCGGGCATTGATAGCTTTAAATTCGATGCAGGCGAAACTTCATGGTCGCCAAAGGATCCCAAATTGAATACAGACTTGGAAGATCATCCACTGGCCATAACAAAGACATACGTTCGCGCCGTGAGCAAATTTGGTCCGATTGTCGAAGTGCGAAGTGGTCAAGGCACACAAGATTTGCCAATTTTTGTTCGTTTCATCGACAAGGATTCCGAGTGGACATACAGAAATGGTCTGCCCACTTTAATCACATCGTTGCTTCAAATGAATTTGGTGGGCTATGGATTCATTCTGCCGGATATGATTGGTGGAAATGGTTATCAAGGTGCTCCATCTGAGGAATTGTTTGTACGATGGCTTCAGGCGAACGTTTTTATGCCTAGTTTGCAGTATTCATACGTACCATGGGACTATTCGAATAACACAATCGAAATCTGTCGTAAATTTACGAATTTACACGCTGAATACACCGACGAAATTATGAAGGCGTTTGAAAAAGCAGTCGAATTGGGAGAACCAGTAAATCCGCCTATTTGGTGGTTAGATCCAAACGATCAAGTTGCATTGGGCATTAGCGACGAATTTTTGTTGGGAAAACGAATATTGGCAGCGCCGGTCATAAATAAGGGCGAAGATTTCCGACATATATACTTGCCAAAGGGGAACTGGTTTGATCCAAATCTAAACAAAACTTACGATGGACCAATTTGGTTAATGGAGTATCCCGCACCAATTGATGTTTTGCCATATTTTATAAGACAAAAATCATAGGGAAAGTATCATAGATATATGTATTTGAAAAATTGTTCACTCCAATTATTTTTTATAAATCAAACATTTCAATTAAAAAAAGCAAATAAAAGAACCACTTGAAACTCACACAATAAAATTTATCTATCATTATTCTGATATTTTCGAAGGCTTGTCCAAGCTACTGATAAAGAAAATGTGAAGAGGCTTGTTTTGTAAGCGACAAATAAAGTCAAATAATGTCAACAATCATTGAGTGTCTTATCCCTCTAAATCTCCCATAGTTATTTTTTTTAGATACGAATCGACACCATTTTTTGTGATGGTTTGGTACGAATAGACTTAGAGTGACTAAGTTCACAAAAAATATTTTACACTGTCCAAACATTGAAATTTCAATAATCTCCGACTTAAATTCCAGTCATTTGAATAAATTTTCACGGATATAAACAATTATGTATATCATACATAATATCAAAGAGAATCAGAAACACGGGTATATGCATGAAATGTTACATAGCCTACGACCAATACCATTGCTGGTATTTATACAAGAGACATTCATGAAACGAGGATTGGTATTTTAACAATTCACTTGGAAGCAAAAAATAATAATAAAAATTATAAAAAATAATTAAAAACTATGAAATTTGATTTTAAATCTACATTAATCAAACTCTGCGTCACGTATGCCACTTATGGTTGATATCAAATGCCAAACATCGCTAAACAATTTTTCAATGATCACGCAAAAAACAAAACCCGTTGAACAAGTCCCGTTCAAGTATGTATCAGCACCGGCTGTTTTTATTCATATTTCTTTTTTACTTCTTTCTTTCTATTCTTTTTTTAATGGAATAAATTCATTAAAGTAGTAATAGAATTAAATGACGTCAGTATTAAAAACGAGCGAAAAAGCGAAAGCAATCGCCAAAATTATAATTTTAATTTTATTATGATTTTACAACTTTAACATTCCATGAATTGAATATCTAATGTATTATAACAAGTTTTTAACCAAATTTTAGAATCGGATTAATGTCATTCTCTGTGTCAGCACCAAAAAAGCACCGTCAACTGAATATGCACAGAACATACGACGATTTATCCGATCAATTTCACTTTTTGTTTGACCAACAAATTGAATTTGACGGTTCAAGTGAAAATGTTACTTCCATCATAAATAATAATAATAGTTACTTTGGCTCTGATATAAAAAGATTGCTTCATTTTTTTTATTTGAATTTTTTACAATAGCTTTGATTGATTTGTTTTTTTTTTTTAATTGTTGTAGTTTATGTGTTGTATTTGGGTTAATCACACATTCATTCAAAAATTGTTTCTTCTCACGATTCCGTTCACGTTTCCAAAGTCTCGTAGCAAAAAAAATCAGACGAATTCAATGATTATAAATAGAAGCGAAGACTTGGATTTGTGTAGGCCACCTGTGAAAGTACAAATTAACAAGAAACATATAAGTGATGAATAAAGAGTTAGTATGTCGTAGTTCACATGATAAAATACATACATAGTTCAATAATTCCGGAGAATCTTCGCAAATAACTGGTTTTTTGTGATAGCATGCGACGTCGTGCCAATTAATGCCATCGTTATAAACATTGTTAAGTATGGACAAGCATGATTCAATTGTTTGATTGATGTCGAATTCAGCGTTGTCTGGTTGTGGGCTTCTTTTGTGACCAGTTTGACTCCATGGATTGTATCTAAAGCCAGGTGGTATACGGTAGGTTGGTGCACTGCAAAAATCAATAAAAAAAATGTATGAAAAGCTATCAAGAAAAATAAACATAAAATGACTTACATTCTTTGCTGGTTAGCCGACCAGAACCATCCGTGATATTGTCGTGGCTCCAAGTATGCACGACCAGCGCATCCTTTGAAATCGCACAAACGACCCGATGTCCAGATGTATGGAACGTTATACGCTCGAATCAAATTATTGATATAGTTATTCTTGTGTTCAGTTTCAAGCGATACGGCATCCATACAATATTCACGACATAAATTACGCGCATCCAACCAGTCGACACGAGCATTACTCAAGAAGTAATATCTGCCACCATATTGGAATTGTCTTGGACCTATTTGACAGCGGAAGATAAAATTGTATTTGATTATGTTAATAATTAAAAGACACGCATAGCATATGCATGTGAAATATTTCAAATATTTGAATTTTCGGACGATTTCACCTCATCAACCGGTTTCAAGTTCGAATTCAGCGAAATTACGACACAAAAAATTTATGACATAAATTATTTAATAAAAACTTACGACTGGCACACTTTTGTGGTACTGGGAACGATAAGAATCGTCCCTTTGTTTGTCTTTTAGAACGAACTTCCGAATCGGTGGAATTTTGACCGAGACACACAGCTACACAAAATGCAGCTATCACCAACACTACCTTCATCTGCAAATGGAAATAATGCTTTTGATTAATTTAATTCGCGATTTCAAAAAAAATCACATCATAACTTAAAATTTTTAAATTTATTTTTTTAACATGTACATTTAATTCAAAAATTAAACGAAGTAGAACCAAAAAAAATCAAATTTATTTCACTAGTTTTCACCTTGTCACTGAGAATTAAATAATATGCACAGTGAATTTGGCTTCTTTACGAACTGAATTCGTTTCGATTGCTGTCGTACACTCAACTGATTTTCCTGTTATATTTTCAAATCCAAAGAAACCGAAATTTTATGCGCAGACATACACCAAAGTGGGGATCAGTTTGACAAAGTCTTATCGAAAGAAATTCATGTTGAAATTATTGTCTAAAAACATCAAAGTGAATCGAGGGGATTAACTAACATTTCAATCATACAGATATTAATTACTGATTTCTAGTTTTGCCAAGTGAAAAAAATACACAAATCTAGTAGATAATGCGAATAATAAAATCTTTATTATTAAAATCTGAATAAACCCCATGGAAAGAATACTAATATTATTCATGTGTTTCTGCGTAAGCGCCAAAAAAGTCTCATCACTCATTTGTATTTGTCTAAATCATAAGACCATTCCACATCACGTGATGAATTTGCAACATTGAGTATTTTTTTGAGTACACACATAAATGATTTCAAACTATTCAGAGGTGCAACGTCATATCAGCTGATGTCTAGGATTTTTTTTTTATTTTTTGTTGTTTTTGATTTTTAATTGGACTCATTCGATGAATGGTTGATCAGAGCGGAGACCTTGACATCATAAAATCATCGATATTTATATCTCATTGTGTCTTCTAATAGAATACACTCCATAAACGGTCTACATTCTTTTACGAATCTATACAACGTTCTCGCCGTACAGGAAGCAACATTTAAAAAAGATATATCATGTTTTTTTTAGAAATGTCATTAACATTTGAATCGGTATATCTTTTATTGTAATTGAACAATTTTAAAGATTCTTTCGAGTTATACTTAAAAACCACAGATCTATGGACAGACATTGAGAAAATTAGCACATACTTGACTCCTACAAACCAGCGTTTACGAGGCTATTGAGGCGCACTCAGCCCATCCGTTAAAAACTCGGAATATATCGGAGCCTCAGAAATTGTAGGTGTCAAATATAATATGAGATAGGCACTCATAAAAAGTTCTGATAAAGTAATTTCATATGCTTTTTTGGTTCGCGTCGCTTGTCATTTTATATTTATCTTTTGCAATGTCGTAATGTTAGTTACTTGCCAGTTTTCACTTTCAAAGATTAATGAAATTGGTATTACCAAACATAAACTTATCGACGCAGAACCTTTTCAATAAATTTGATAATGCTACGGCGTTGCTACACACAAGCTTTTCGTAGTATGTATTCCAATATTTAGATCCATAATAAATTAAATATGCAAAACACAAATAAAAAACAAGTTAATTATCAAACGGATTTAGATAGAATTTGCGGTGAATAACAAGGAAGTAAAATGTTAAGTATATATAGTATTTTATATGATAAATACATAGTTTAAAAGATTATCGGAATCTCCGTAAATAACTAGTTTTTCGTGGTAACCAGCAACATCGTGCCATGCAATGTCATCATTATAATATACGTTAATAAGTATCGACAAAGATGATTGATATCGTATTCAGCGTTATCTGATTGTTAAATTTTCTTGTGGCCGATTTGAGACCATAGATTATAACCCCATCCCTATGCAACACGGTTTGTTGGTTCACTGTAAAATTCACAAATGAAAAAAGAAAGACCGTTGCAAAGAAGGAAAAAATAACAAAACTTACATCTTTTTCACAGCAAGAAGACTAGTAACCGTTAGTGTTCTTTGGTTCCAAATCTGAGCGACTTTCGTATCCTTTGAAATCACACAAGCATCCACTGATCCAAATGTATAGAACGTCATTTGTTTGAATCAAACGGAAATTTTTGAGTTTCAAGCGAAATGACATCCATACAATATTCACGGCAAACCCACACACATAATACACACAAATATAAACAAGTTTTCAACCATTCACAACTGCAACAAATGATGATTAATGGAATACGACAAAATACCATTTTCAAATAATAAATCAAATGAATGATGAATTTACAGTTTAAAAAAAAATAAGAAAGCAGCCGTAATTTCAAATCATGAGGAAATCAAATGGAATTTTCCCAATGTTATAAAATATATTATTCATAAGTTTTTTGTACACATTGAAAACAAATTAGAAATATTGGAAACTATGAAATCAATAATTTGTTAATTTTTAATATTGCATACAACCTTTTTTGCTACTACTATTAAGCATACGTCCTCAAGGTACAAATTTAGGGGGATTTTTAATTGAAAGTGAAAAAATCGAGAGGCGAAAAATCCAATTCTATGTAGCGTAAAAAATGGGGTTTTGATTCCGCTAAAAAAAACAGCAAATCGGAAGATTTTCTCCCATCAAAATAAACTGAAGAGCAAAAAAAGTTTTTCACTTTTGAAATCAAAAACTCTGGGAAAATGAAAAGAATCCTTTGAAAATTCTTAGAGAGTAACACTTCCTCAGGGAGGTGTAATCAGAGCCCTCGAACCACTGCTGAGGACGTATACTACAAACAGTAAAAGGCAATCAATGAATATAATAAATCTATTAGAATAGATGAGTTGGAATTAATGAGTGGGAAATCAACTCGAATATTAATATGATTACACGTTACCTAAACAGCTTTTGAATGAATAAAGGTATAATCGCTTGGAAATCACATGTCCTTATTAAATTATAAATGTTTTACACTGCACAATATAAATTGAACACCCTACGGAACTCTCGTTCAGTTTGGTGATAGCATTTGAATCGTAACAAGGATTAAAAAAACCAAAGCTATTGTAAACTTTTGATTTTCGTGTGGTAGCCAAAGAATATTCCCATTTCTTCATTAGTATTTGATAATTATCAAATTAAATATTGTTTCTTAAAAAAAACCAAGTGCTCACAATGAAAACTTTTCAAAAAGTTCGCGAAATGTGCAATTTTATCGGACTGAATGGGTCGCAGGAACTTCGAAAGTATCATTGGTTCAATATTAAAACGATCATTGGCGTATTTTTCAGTTTTCAATTTCCAATGTCTACAACCACATTTCTCCTTTTTGGAGCCAAAAACTTTACTCAATTTGCGATGTCGTCTTATATTTCCTCAACTATGATAACTATTTGTGTAGCTTTGATTTTATTTATTGGAAAAGTCACAAATATATTCAAAATGTTTAAAAATTTCGAAAATGCCATTGAAAAACGTAATAATTAAATCAAAGATATTCTAAAAAAAATATTCTTTGTTCTAACATAAAAATTTCGTTGATCGTTTCAGGCTTGCAAAATGCATCATCAGCGGAATATTTTACAGATTCGATTGAAAAAATCGAAAAAATTTCACAAAGTTTGACATTGCTTCTTCAAGCAACGTTTATATGCCAGATGTTACCGATTTTTCTTTTTGTTGTGTACACTTATTTTACTAAAGGGCTTGACACTGAAGGCTTTAAATTACCATATGATGTGTTGTAAGTCTCACGTTTTCGTATACACTGTTGTATACACATTAATTATTTTTTTGTTCAATCAACTAGTATTGTTAAGTTTTTTCTTTTTCTTTAAAAGGCTACCATTCAATTGGCGAACACCGATCGGATATTTGATCGCTTACACTTTACAATGTGCTGGCATTTTTTATTTATTCATGTTATGCACGTTATACTCAAGCGTTTTCGCCGGGTCTTGTCTGATGATAAAGGCATTTGCCAATGATGTTAAACAAGAACTGAAAGATATCAGCGAACTTAGCAATTCCAACGTCAACAAGAGAAAAATTATGGAAAGATTTGGTGCATTCATACAGCTTCACGTGGAGATAAAACGGTTGAGTGAAATTTCATTTCTTATTTTGATAAACCTAAAAAAAGGTCAAGCAAAAATCAGTTGGATCGATTGAAAGATTTTTGAATTTTATTGCTACGATGAATTTCTTTCAATTTTTAATTATATTTCGTCATTTATTAGATTTGTATCGGAGTTTAATGACATCTTTGAGTATATACTTATGGCATACTTTATATGGGGAATTGTAACTGTCTGCGGCACACTGCTTCAAATTCATATCGAATTGGTTGAGTTGACTTTTGAAATTTCAATATTAAAAATGTAATTTTTTTTTGTTTAACATTTCAGATGCAAGACCCTATAAATTGGTCAGCACTCATAGCTGTTTGCTGGGAACTATATTGGACAATTGCTGTTTTATTCCTATATTGTTATCCCGGTGAAGAAATAAAAACTGCCTTTGAAAATCTGGGTGACGAGATTTATCAATGTGAATGGAATTCGTTTCCATATGAAGTTCAACGCATTTTGCCGATCGTTCTAATTGATGCTCTAGATCCAGTTGAAATTACAACATTTGGAAATATTCCATGTACACACGTCACATTTAAAACGGTAATATCGATAACTATGAATGAGTTTGAATTGAAATTAATACACACTTAACCATCGTTCAAACAGATAGTCAACGTTGGTTACTCATATTACACTGTTCTTCGAAAGTTCAACTGAGTTAATCAATAGCATCACTATTCTAATTCAATAACATATTTCTAGACATTATATGGTTTTATTAATATTTATGTATAAATGATAAACTTGCAAAAAACTATACTTGAATGTACTTTGAATAAACTTTCAACACATTTGTGAAACTTCCATTAACCCTCCTAGGTATAGTAACGGTCTTTTGGACCGAAAACTTAAAAAAAAATCTCATAAAATTGAAACACGTCGACCAATTGCCATCAAATTTTCGCCTTTTTACGAGAATAATGGATAAATATTGAAATTAACATTTAAAATCCTGAAACTGTTCTGTAAAAAAAAAACCAGAAAGACGAAAATCCTAACTTGATCGTATAGTTACGGTCTCTTAGACCGTCCATACAAAATGTATGGGAAACACATAATCAAGCATTTTCACAAATTAAGTTGGTGAAAATTTATGATATCCGTTTAATAAAAATGAAAAATTAAATTGGAAAACGAGAAGATAGGTTGAAATTCTCAAGAAAAATCAATTTGAATCATTCTTGTTTATCGCGTACATCATATTATTATTTCAACAAAATGTCTGTCAGAGAAAAATCGATCTGTAGTCTACAATAGCACGAAAGGCGGTGTGGATGTTTTGGATCAA